GCGTTTTCGTGCGTTTTTTTAATGAGCGTTAATGGCTTACAATCGCGGTTCCCGATTGTGCGTTTAAACGCGTTTTTCAAAATTTTTGTCTGACTGGGTACCTCTTCATCCGTAGCATTATTTGTGATTCCAATCGTGTTCTCATTGTTGCTTTTTTTCTAGTTCTGAAGTTCATGAGCATAATATTCCAGTTTTGTCTAGGCAAATTTAAAATTTGCCTTAAATTCATATTGGCTTACAACATATGTGTTTCTCTTTGTTCAATAAAATACAATAAAATTTTTACCTCCGTGATCAGGTTCATCATTATCTATTCTTTCGATATTTTTTTCATCGACTTTTTTCCTTCGACTTTTTCTCTGTCGACGTTTTTTTGACATTTATCGATATTTATTTTTCGACATTTTTTCTTTCAGCGTTTTCAGTACATACCGTTTGTTCATTAAGCCGGTCTTGTTTTTTATCAAAATCATCACCAAACATGTTCTATATTGGGCTATTAAGAATAGTTTTATTTTCTTCTTGTATGATCTTTTGTGGTTCAGGATTCTTACGATTTATGTAATATACCACATTATCTGTAGCATAATAAATAGGCAGTGGCACCGCTATTGTGTTGGTACATCGTGCATCAGTATGACATAAGTAACGTCTAAATTTTAAAACAAAAATAATAATAAATTCTTTCTTTTTATTTTCATATCAAATTCTTATGTTAATATTTGTATTTCATTTGATGTAAAACCAATTTCATTACATAAGACTTGATAAAGCATTGGTTTTGCTGTGCCTTGAATAGGTGCATCAGAATTAAGATAAAAATCAAAAACATTTGGTGAAACAATATCTGTATCAATAACTGCTCCTAAAATAGAAAAAAAAGAAATATTCGAATAACAAAATCCAATAAAATTCATTTAACCTGGCGGAATATTTTTTTGCTTGATTTGATTTTTCATCCCAAGTAAAAAAACGTGTATTATGATATTTTTTAACAAGAACAAAACAAATGCGAGGAACTTGATTATGACCATACAATTCTATAGAAAAAACAACATCTGTTTATTTGATTTCATCGTTGAACAATCATATTTACCTTGACATGCTTCTTCAATAGCTTTTAATTCATGATCAAGACGAATAGAATATTTTGAATTGGTTGAATATGTTGATCCACAAATATAAGCAATTGATGCTTGTTCAGATGAAAATGCTATATGAGTATAACCAATACCGAAGAGCATAAATACATCTGAACGAGATGTTGGTGAATTTAATAAAGATATTAATGGTATAAGTTGATGACAATCATCCAATAATATATTTAATTTTTTTACTAAATTCTTTAAAAAAAATTCTTAATTAGATTTAAAAAGAAACAAATGAAAAAAATTTACTTCAATAGAATTGTTCATATTATGTGAATAATTATTGACCAATTCGTTGAAAGGAATACATTTAGTTATCATACCTAAAAATTATTCTTTTTGTTTTCATAATCAAAATATAAAAAACTGAGTTTTTATAATTTGAATCATTACCTAGTGTACCAAGAGTTTTGCAAGATTTTTTATTTCGCATACACCTGGACTTAAGAAATTGATAAAATCTTAATTTCTTTTTTGAAAGATACATTGTGAAAAGCTCTACAAAAACTATTTACAGAAATCCCTATTCAATGGTTCTCTTGGTGTTTCCTATAGTCAATATAAACAATCTACATGATAGTGTAATGTTCCATCGTGTTGAATGTGATAAAAATGTTTGAAAGGTCTTTTTTGTTTTGCATTAGAGATTTGTTCATACATCTTATGTAGACCTTTTCATAGCACATCTGTCAAAAACAAAAATGAGCACGCTATCATTTTCTCAAGCTGAGATATATGCAAAACAAAAGAACCTTCCACACATTTTTATTATGTCGGAAAGTAGCACTGTTATGTAGGTTGTTCATATTGAATATGGAAAACACCAAGACAACCAGTTAATAGGAATTTCTGTATACAGTTTTTGTAGGGCTTTTCACGGTACATCTTTTAAAAAAGAAATCAAGATTTTATTATTTTCTTAAGTCAATATATATGCGAAATAAAAAAATGTCACAAAACTTTTGGTACACCCGGTATGTAAAGTGTCTTATTCATTAATACCAATAGGCGAAAAAAATGATTCAATGCATGCAAAATAATTATCAGATTCAGGTAAGAATAAACCTTCTTGAAAGTATTAAAAGTGAAACTCAGGTACAGATCCGAGTTTGGAAGATGATCAATAAATGGAATCGGGATTGAAATTCAAACTGTTTAATCTCCACTAGCTCTAGTCGAGATATAGACTTCATTTAATTAGATTAGTCATTTTCTTCTATATAATACAAATCTTACCAATTTTTATTTTTGCAAACTATTTTATTGCATTATACACTTCATCATCAACTTGATCAAGAATATAAATAATAACTTCACATCCTAGCATTTTAAGTTCATTCATACGAGCTAATATAGTTTGTAATATAGCTGCATCATATTTTTCAATAGGTGATGAATTAAATCGAACACCATATTTTGACATAACCTTGAAAAAAAAAAGAACAAAAAGTTATTTTTTTATTGATGTCTAAGAAACGCAATTAAAACCTGTAAAATTCTTTGAGTAAAATCTCTTGTTAAACAAATTTGTTGATCATCAGGTTTATGTTGGCTAGCAAGAACAATAGCCCATGTACGTATTTTATGTACTTTTAAAAAAAACTTATTTAACCACCATCTATCAATTTGTACTCCTTCGATAATATCATGTTGATCAATATCTGATAATTTATATTTAATTTCTGATGATGGTAAAATTCTCCCAGATATCAATAACATTTCATTAACATCAACAATAATACCAAATTTTTGTAAATATGAATCGTGATTAAATCGATGTTGATCAACGATACGCCCATGTAAAAATAAATCAAGAAAAAACGGGATTTTAATCGATTTTTTTGTGATTAAAAATCGATTAAAATGAGACGATTTTCATCAGATTTTAATCAGATTCCTTGAATTTTAATCAATTNTGGGTATGCTGCTCAACAAATACGAACTTAATGATAAAACTCGCTTAGAATTATTGGGTAAACGACCTGGCAAAGGCAGATCGAAAAAAGTTCGAACTACTCTGTTATCATGAAGTTTTTTTTCATAATAATCATATTTACATAATATTTATTTATTACCTTTTTTGTGTTCCTCATGTTGTTTTGTGTGATGTGATGAGATTATTTATTTTCTTATTTCACATATAAATAAATTTGGTGCTCATTTCACTCTTTATTTGGTGCTCAAAACACTCCCCACCCAAAATGTTTCATTGTTTATATAGACGACATCGGTCAGATAGAATATTTGAGTATGTCAATATATATATGCTGACATTTATAAGATTAGATATAGATGAACATGTTCAATTCATGTGTTCGATTGAATGATTTACCGGATGAAATTCTTATTTCAATTTTTAAAAAATTGTCTAATGCGGAAGTACTTTATTATTTATTAGGTGTTAATAAACGAATAAATAAAATTGTACATGATTATGTTTTTACAAATGAGTTGTCCCTTCTGATGTCTACATCGGATGATTTGATTTATTCATTACCTGATTTAATACTTGATCGATTTTGTTCACATATTTTACCTAAAATTCATCAAAAAATCCAATGGCTTCATCTTGAATCACGATCAATGGAACGTATTCTTCTTGCGACGAATTATCCGAATTTATATGGAATTAGTTTACATAATATTCATGCTAAAACAGCTATGGATCTTTTTACTAGTAAGATATTTTACTTTTATTCTTCCAATTCTAGACATATTAAATCTATAAATAAAATAAATTTCTGGTTACATTAATTAGATAATTACAGATGGATTTTTCATTTGATTCGTATTTGTTAGTATGAAGAGAAGAAGATTGTCATCAAAGAGATGATAAGTACGTATATAAAAATAAAAGGCGTAGATATTGTCTCCAATTTAAAGCTTTAAAAAAAAAATTTTCGAAAAAGAAAATGTAGAATAAAATAGATGATATTGGATATAAAAATCTAAAGAAGAAAATCAAATATGTACATTATCATTATTAAAAAATGAATAAAATATACGTACTTAAATTTAAGCATTTCATATCAAATAATTTTTAATCTTCTCATTGTTTAGATGAAACTTCTGTAATTCGTACCTTGAAAAATCAACTTTTATCACTTACAATCGATATTAGTACACAGAAACTACAACATTTTCCAATAGATGGTAATGCAATTATATTTAATCATATCATTACTATGTTCACTAATTTACAATATTTAAATTTTGGTCCATCTTCAATATGCGATGAACAATTATACTTTTGTTTTGATCGTCTAACTGTTGTTTCTACAAATTTGTTAGAATTACATGTCTGTTTGAATACTTTTTCTGATTGTCTTTATTTACTTCATGGACATTTCAATCAACTTCGTACATTCTATGCTGATGTTAGTGTTATTACTTTTAGAGATAGAAGAATCAACAATACGGTAGATTATTATTTTTTTATATGAATTAATAATATTGTTTTCTTCTAGAAAAAACTATCTAGTTTAAAATGTTTTCGGCTACATCGTAATATGATAACATTTGCTTATGATGAATTAATTCTACCACTTTTACATCGAATGTCAAATTTAGAAAAACTTGATTTGTCTATTAATGTTGGTGAAAGAAAAACTCTTTTTGATGGTAATGATTTGAAGATGAATATTATTAATCATATGTCACAATTAAATAAATTCACATTTAATATTTGTTCATTAAGTAGTTTTTATAATGAAATTAATTTACCTAAAAATGAAGATATTCAAAAGACATTTAGCGACTTTAATGATAAACAAATTATTTATTGGACTGATTATTTTTCAAAAGAAAAAAAAGGTTATTGTCATATTTATTCATATCCATATAAACTGGAATATTACGAGAAGATAACGAATAATTTTCCAGGTGGAATATTTAAATATGTTCGTTAAGTATCATTATATGATGAACGTCCTTTTCAACATGAATTTTTCCTTCAAATTGAGAAATCATTTCCATTCATGGAAAAATTAACTGTACTTAATGAAACACGACAAACTAATAAACAATTTAGAAAATCAACGAATATAAATCAACATTTATCAATCGTTAAATATTCTTATCTTAAAGAGCTTGATCTTATTCATACTTGTACTGATTACTATGAACAATTCTTATTCGATACTAAAACATATTTACCAGTTGGTGTTCGTGTTTATATGATTTATGAACTAGTGGAAAAAGTGACACGCAATTTCACAAGAAAAAAAACAAGAAATAATTGTGCAAAAATTAATTATGAAAATTTATCTACAGAATTAAGTTTTGCTGGATATCTTGACAACTCTTCTACTGGAAAACAACAAATTCCTCAACATATAAAAGACTATTTTCCTCATACACAAATAGACTGATTATTGTTAATTTGTTATTTAAATAAAACATGAACAAAAGCACTTCAAAAATGAAACTATAATTAACAAGTACTAGTAGACATCGAAAGAAAATTGTGTATCTAAAAAAATTTGAATTTAATTGAAACCAACAAAATAGAGTTTCAACAGTTTAGATTTGCTACGTTCTAAGTGATAGTTTAGAAAGAGATTTTCGTTTAAATACTAATGAATCATAATCTATTTTTTGGAAATATATAGTTTATGCAATTAATGCATCGGTGTTTGATTACTTCTGAAAGTTTGTGTGAATAATCTATCGTCCTTATTCATACCGAATCAATAATATATATTATGTGTACTGTCAAATCCTCTCTTTTATCAAGAATATTGCACTTATCGTTTTAGTATACATAAGAAAGGATCATTTACATCTTAGATTTTAATATCTATGCAAGACGAACAGAGAACAATAAGGTCAGAAAAAGAATAATCGACATTTATGGAAACATGTCTAGTTTTCGATCACATATATAACGTGCGGTAGAGGGCAAAGCTGATCATAGTTATCATTTAACTATGACAATATACCAACAATCAGGAAACAAGAATGTAAAAAACACTTCGAAGTATCGATTTATATAATTCTAATGAAGTCACTACATCAATAAATTTCATAGATATAATGAAAGATCACAATTAAAAATAGGATACGGAATTCTTTAGAAAGATCTCGTGAATCTTATTGTTGAGATTAATCGGGATCAGAACTGAGCAAATCAGTGCAACTCAAATCATGAATTAAATGACTTAAATTGAAAACATTTCGTGGCATTTACCGATTGAGTTCTGCTGAACTGACAAAACTTTCGATTTTTACTCATCTAATACGATGAAATATGATATTGATGTTGTCTCATCAAAGGAAACCATTGAATAAATAAATGAAATAGTATTTCAGTATTTTTTAGTTCTTTAAATCGTCATACGGTAGAAAAATTAATCTCAAAACAGACAGTTTTTCTGTATTTTTCTAATAGAATTGATTAAAACCTTTCATTGTTCTAAAGGATACATAGCCTTCGATGAATCGAATTTGTGTTTTACCAGCTGTGAAATTCTAGTACAAATATAACTCGATGGTAGGAGTTTTCATTTAAATAAAAAAAGCAAAACATCAGTCGATTTATACAATTTAGAGTATTGAATATCTGCAACTGATCAGTAATCGATAAAGAGAAACCTGAAAACTGGCGTTAGTTTTCGTCATTTTTTCTGACTTCTTCCCTTTATCTTCTATTGGTTGTTTGACTTTTCCTATTGGTAGAACAAAAACAAACTGAATAATACATAAAAAAAACTAGCCGGACGGAAGGGAAGAAAAATTTTCTTGAAAGAAGAGCTTTTCTCGATTATTTATTTTGCCTATATCTATTTAGAAGATGAGTATTCTATTGAGAATGTTATATTCTAATAAAAAATAATTATTTTTGATCGATAATCTTTTTAGATCAATGCTTGAACTTGCTCAAAGTTTAATATTAAATGAAGAAGCACTTAATAGTTTACCAGAAAATAAACGACCTGTATTTATTTATGAATGGCTTTATTTTTTAAATAAAGTACTTCTTGCTGCTCAAAAAGTAAATTCAAATTTGATTATAATATTTCAAAAAAATTGTTTTGTTTTTGCCTTAAGAATGATATTCGTGAATGTCAATCACGTATTGTTGAACAACTTATGCAACAAGTTCAATATGGACCTGGTTCACCAATACGAACATTAATTGGTCGAAATTTAGCAACATTATTTAGTGTTGGAGATCCATTTCTATTATTTAATACAATTAATCGTCGTAATGATATATTAAAATCCAATGATGAAGTTGCAAAATTGTAAGTTTTTATATATATTTTCCTTTAAAATTCAATTTAAAATATTTAAATAGAGCTACTATTGTTGTTATTGGTGCACTTTATGAACATCTCGGTCGATTAGTTGGTCGTTCATATGAAGAAACTGTTCAATTGTTAGTTAAAACATAAAAAAATGGTGATTCTCAAATGCGTTTTGAAATCATGTTTACATTTGAACGTAATATTAATGGACTTGGTTCAGCTGGTAATAATGTTCATTGTGAAATATTTAAAGTTGCTAAAACTCATCTCTGTGATCGAGCGATGCCTGTTCGATCAGCTGCTGCAATGGTATTTATTCAGATTTTTTGAATTGATTGGTTTCTTTTTAAGTTTTGTTTTAGTGTTTAATTGCTTTAATTAATCAAAATAATTTTATGTATACAAATGAATTTGAAGGAAATGTTACATTGGATTTTCGTGCACTTGATGGTTCAAAATTATGAAGTTCGTTGTCGAATAGCGAAATATTTAGCTGCATTATTAGCTGCAACACAAGAAACTATTTCAAATCCAAGTCAAAGTAAAGAATTTTCTAATGAAAAGGTTTCTTTTTTGAAATCAAATTTTAGGTGCGATGAATAAATCGAGTCGTCATACAGCAAATATTAAAAAAATAAAAACAGAAGATATTAAATTATTTAGCTAGAGAATTTTTACATGGAAATATTGGATTTTTAAAATCTAATACTACTGAACGTATTAAAGGGCCAATAACCGTTCAACGTGTAATACGAATTGGTCTTACTCATGTAAAACAAATTCTCTAATCGAAAGAAAATCATCTGTTGTTATTTTTTAGACTTATGTCGAATTAGCTCTTAGTATTGGTACATCATAAATTGAACAAAATTTATCATTATTTATAAATCATGTTCTTGAATTAGCTGGAAATCCTCGTTCATTAAAATCACATGTTGATTCAGTTTATTCACGTAAATGTATTACATTTATTCTTCGTTCAGTAATTGGTTCACGTTTGGGTGAAAAGGCACGATTTGCTGCAGCTAAAGAACTTCCAGCAATTATAACACGTTTTATAACATTACAATTAATACCAAATAATATTAATTCATCACCAACATCAACAAATGAATTAAATATTTCAACGAGTTCATCATCACTTAATTCAAGTACTAATTCAATCATACAATCTTATGCATCATCATCAACAAGTACATTTGATTTATCATCATCAAATATTGAATATACTCAACATATATTGATTTGTGCTTTACATGAACTTAGTTTATTAGTACAAAGTTTTGGAACATCAACATCTTTATTATTACAAGATGGTTGTCATGGATTAATTGATATATTATTTTTAGTTATTCTTAATGCATCACATTCAGTAAGATAATCAGCAGCATGGTGTCTTCGTTCAATTACAACAGCATTACCATCAGTTATGACACCAGTGATTAATCTATGTTTAGAAAAAATGAAAACTTTAGCAAAATAATCAACTTTATATAATACAGATGCTAAGGTATGTTCGGATTTGCACTTGCTTTACAAGCTTTACTTGGAGCTATTTATCGATGTTCATTAGGTTAGTTTTATTTCAATCTATATTGTTTGTCAGCATAATTGATACCAGTATTTTATCTTAACAAATATTTGAGAAACTTGTCATATATTTGACTATTTAGGTATTCCGTCACAACGTGCAAAAACTATATTTGATTTTGCTGATGATTTACTTCGTATGGCAACAGCTTCAACAGCTGGTCAACAACAGTCTTTAATACCACGTGTTATACTTCAATGTACTCATACAGAATGGCATTTACTTGCTGCGTGTTATACACTTGGACAACAAGTAATAAAAAAATTTGTTCCACGTTTAGTTCTTCTATGGCGTAATGTATTTCCACGGTCACAAGCTGATTTTGAACAAGAAAAACAACATGGAGATTCATTTACATGGATATTATCATTTAATCAACGTTCAGGTGCATTTTGTTCAATCATATCATTTTTAAATAATTGTTCAACAGGTGATAATCATTTAATAACTGATGATTTAATTAAACAATTTGGTCCAGAATTAAAAGCACCAACAGCAATGTTTCGTTGTCGTTTATATGAACTTCTTTTACTTATACCAATTAAATTTTATGAGCAATATTTTAAAGTTTTATTAAGAGAATTAGTTGCAGAATTTATATTAACTGATAATTCATCAAATACAACAACATCTTTACTTCGATCAGTTTGTCATGATAATGATAGTGTTCTACTTGGTAAGAATTAAAGACTTATTTTATAATCTTCAAAAGAAAAAGAAAGGAAGTTAAACCATAATTAAAGGAACTAATGCTTATACCTCCCGCGAATTTAATACTTCAGAGGAGGAATCAGAATATCACACTTATTTTACATAAAAACCAAATTGCGACTAGAGAGCTGCGAGCCCGGGCCCATATCGAGATTTAACTTAGACCCGATTTGTATTTAGCTTGCTTTTTTTCTTGAGAGTAACCAATAAATAACTAAAATCTTGATGCTTTATTTGGTCATCTACACAAAAAGTGCCGAATATTAGTGGAAAAAAACGTGAACCTGCAGGCTCCTACTTTCGACAATACAATTCTCTATTTTTCTATATAAATGATCCTCCGCTGAAGTATTGAGTTTTTTGCTAAGAAACAAGAAAAAATAGTTAAACGAAAAAAGTCAAGCTATGGTCTTAATGAATTGATGTGTCTAAGAATCTCATGATAAATAAGTCTAGAAGACTTTAGTATATCTCCGGTCAGGTTTAATATTTGACTATACTTTCAGGTAATTGGCTACAAGAAACAGATTATCAAATGATTGAAGAACAGCTTCAACCAAATTCTGCTAATGGTTCCGGTGCACTTGAACATGATGAAACTTATCTCTATTGTCGAGATGCATCTTTAAGTTCATTTAATATTATAAATTATCTCTTTCGTTCATCATCAACAACAGATAATAATTCTAGTAATGCTTATTATTCTTCTCCAGCTGAATTAAATATTCCGGATCCATTACCATTAGATGTTGCTATTATTGATGCATCAATTCTTCTTTATGGTACAATGTTTGTTCGTGTACCAAATAAACATCGTTTAAATATGTTACAACATTTTATTGATATTATTAAACAATCAAAAGGTGCATGACAAGAAGCTTTACAAATAAATATATTTACAGCTGTTTTAACAGCATTAAAAACATTAGCTGAAACGAAACAATCATCATCAATCGATGATGAAAATGTCAAAAACTCTGCATGTACAGTTGTTATGCAAACATTAAGTCATCAAAATCCGATTTTACGTTGTGCAGCTGGTGAAGCTCTTGGTCGTTTAACACAAGTTGTTGATGATGGACGTTTTGTTGCTGATATAGTACAAATATGTTTGGATCGTTTGAAAGACTTTTGTAATGTTTCATCTCGTACAGGTTATTCATTGGCACTTGGATGTTTTTAAATCATTATGTTGGTAGAATAAGTGCAGGATAATATTTAAATTTATCTGTATCAATACTTCTTGCACTTGTACAAGATCAATCAGCATCAATTGTTCAAGTATGGGCATTAAATGCTTTAGGATTAATTGCTGATTGTAGTGGACAAATGCTTCGTTCATATATTGAATCATGTTTAGCATTGATTTTATATTTTCTTTCAATTTCACCATCACAATCAAATGTGTTTCAATGTTGTGAACGTTTACTTGATGCTTTAATTATAAAAATTAGTCCTGAACTTCAAACAAATACAAATTATGTATCAATATTAGGTTCATCATGTTTAATAGCGATTAATCTTTTACAAATGTCACCACATACTGATGGACTCTATATTCCAATAGCTAAACTTCGTCTTTTATTATAGATGTATGACTATTACAAATCATTAAAACATATTTCTATCCTTTTGTTCTTCTTTTAGGCATTATCAATTGATAAATCATCTGTCGAATATCAACATGCACAATGGGATGCTTTAAGAAACAAAATTAATCGACTTGTTAGTGAAACAAATGAGTCCAGCATATGCTCGAACATCGAAGAATTATTCAAAGAGAACATCGTTCGTGGTAGTAGTCTGTTTGCTCGAAGTGTTATACAAACACAAGCAGCATTACCTGGTCGTACATCTGTCTATGCTGCATTAGTGTTGGTTATTAATCTATGGATGGAAGCAATTGGTGGATTAATCAGCAGACAAGTAATATCATCGTTTCATCGAACATATCATCAAAATGATAAAATCAATTGTTTAGCAACAACAAAATTTATTTCTCATTTAGTGAATCAAAATATCGTATGTATTCTTCAAAAAATCAAAGGATTTATTTGATCTTTATTTTTTATTTAGTTACATGAAATAGTTGTATTAGAAATCTTGGTTCTTTTACGTGAAAATTGAACTGATGATAGTGTTGAATTAGCTTTTAGATTTTTAAAAGAATATGGACAAAATTATCTTAAGTTAATCCACATGAATTACAGTCTATATTTTCAACATTAACAAATTTATTTCGTAAATCATCATTAGACAAATGTACATGAAATATGATTGAAGTTTTATTTGCTGTACGAGAAGATCAATTTGAAGAAAATCCAGCTATTCCAACTAGTCTTGATTTCGTTGCTGAAATGAATCAGCTTACATATATGCTTACATTAGATAGTACATGTAAACCTGAACCAATATCTGGTATGGTTTATATTCAATAAAATATTTTTTTTATCCTTCTTTTTGTTTAGATGCATTTGAATCTGATGAAAATTATGAGGAAAATGAAAAAAATATAAAGCTATTCGAGATGAAATTCTTAATGAAAATGAATCAAGTTCATTGGATACTTATGATGAAGGCGATGGAAAAAAAGGTAATGTTGATGAAGAGGAAAGAAAGTCAAATTAGTCATTTGTAAGATTAAATTAAAATGTTTCTTTTAGAAGAAAAACAACATACAATTGTTGATGAGACAGAAACAACTTTATTAAAACCTCGTCAAGAAGTGTATCCAATACTTGAGAAAGGTATTGCTCCTGAAAAATGTGGATATATATTACTTTAAATGAATTTAGATCTGAACAAGAAGTATGTTTTTGAAATATTGAATTAGTTTTTGTATAATTTAAATTTTAGATGTAATTATGTCAAATAATTCTTAATATTTGTGTTCAACNTTAAAACTTCTGTTGAAATTAATCATTTTAAATTACAAATCATATATTTAGCATGAGTCATTATTAATCAAACTTAAATATATTAATACAATAATGACAAGTAACACAGACTAAATCAAGACGTAAATAATATGATTTATTTGTTTAAATCCTTTTTTTTTTTTATTTTCAAGATATCTAAATACGAAGAATCTATTTCTAACAGACACATATAGAACTATGTGTCTGTTAGAAGTAGAAAAATCATTGAGAAATAGAAGTTTATATATTAAAAAACATATCAAAATCAATTTGAAATATTTCATAGAAAGGTTTTGCTTTTTTGTATGCAAATAGAAGATGAAATATTTGACTTAAAAAAATATTGTTCAGGAGAATTTCATTCAAACAATAGTTAATATAATATTTTATTGCTTTGCTCAATGTGAATCATTACAATTCTTTTCTTAATTCATAATTATTATTGATCAAATTAGATATTAATTTCACTAAATAAGTATGGATAAAAAAAAAGATAATTTTTTTTATAGTAACCTCAGTTTTGTTATGCGGACATTAATCTTATATATAAGATAAATATATTGTGTATCTATTAAATTATCTCGTCAATGTAATAATAAATCTATTTTACTAGATCAACATTAAATATTTCCTGTAAACATAATATTCTTAAATAGAAAATATATTGATTTCATTGTCTTTTTTTTATTGATATAAATATTCTACAAATAATTTTATTTCACTATGGGAATTTTCTAAAATACTTTTAAATAGGCATTATTTCCATATTAAATATCAATAATAGAAACGTTCATTTTAAAATCTTGCGATTTTCTATTATGAATAAAAATCAGATTTCAATTATATATTTTAACTTATTTGAAATATCTTTAAATATTTTTCATAGGTCCTATTTAATAAACCCTCATAGAACGATTATTAACTTCTTATATGTACAATTCTATTTAACTTACGAATAAAAAAGCGTAAATTCAATTCCTATTTGATCAATCGAAAGCAATATATCTTAACAGTTTAAAAAAAAAACTAAATTGATACATTAATTTTGAAAATGTACTCTAAAAACTATCGAATACATCTTTGAAACGTATTTGAATAAAATCTAAGATTTATTTGGAAAAATAAATAAAATACGTTGTCATAAATATCTTTAAATATAATGTTAACCTCTATGTTTTATTATTATTATCATTCAACTTTTTCTTCTCTTTTACAATGAGTTTTAATATTTTCAAACAAAATTCTTAAGAATAAACTAAATACATAAAAATGAATTGCCTTATTCTAATTGAATACTTCTCAAGATTAATTCTCAAATATTAATTTTCACTTCCTTGACTTAGTTCATCTATAAAAACTTTTTTCAAAATAATATTTATCTTTCTTATTATTTTATAAATTATTGAAATTTTTAATAAAAATAACTATTATGATATATGTTTTACAAATTTACTAAGACTTGAAATTGTTAAGATGTCAAACAAAAACTTGTTGAGACACTCTATAGAAATCTGGTTATTAGATTCAACTTTAGTAAGTTTAATAAAAAAAAGAAAACATGGAACATTCTTTATTTGTAATCTGAAGATTAGTTCAGAGTGATCAAAAAGATTTTGAACTATCTAACTGTAAAAAAAACTCATCACTAAATAGTAAATAAATCATTTCTAAATTAGATAGGAATAATTATATATAAAAAAAAGTTGAAATAATCCATTGTGATGAGAAGCAGTAAACATATTCTACATTTGTTCGATATGAAAATAGTGAATAATTGAAAAGTAATGAACAAGGCAAAAATTTGTGAGTAAGTATCCGCACAATCGACTTTCTTGTGAAACGGATTCGATCAATCAATAGACCAGAGATCTACATTGTTTGCTATCTTGTGAAGAAAATGTTTTGTATCAAGTAAAAAGAAACATAAAATTTATCATAAATGAAGTAAACACACACTAATTATTTATTGTATGGGTTCAATCCGACTTACTTTATTTATTCTACATAGACTGTTATCTTTCACAATCTTCTTTTTTGTTTTATTCAATCGCATATATATGTATAAGCTTGATTTAATAGAAGGTTAAATATCCCATTATTAATACATTTGTTGTCATTTGTTGGGAATAAATAAATAATCATAAGAATTTAGACTTAATATTGCAGATCATGGACTTAGATACATTCAAATTTACTCTTCAAGGAATATTAACTCAAGCATTCAAGAACTGTGGACTGTGAGAGATTTTTTAAAATTACGAGACGGGAACAAAAAGACGAGCTTTGTATATCCCTACGTCTGATACATGGTTATAAGGGAACGCTCGAGCTATCAACCAGTCAACATCATTCCTGTAAATTATTGTAAAAAAGTTGCTTGATTTTAGAAACGAAACAGGGTCTAGAAAAAGTCGATTTTGCAGTTCCCTACTCACAACTTCAAGAACTGCTTTCAATTTTAGAAAAAAAAAGTAACTAGTGATGTAACTAAGGGAGAAGAGTTGAGTCCTTGTCCATCGATCAAAGGCATGCCACGTTAGATTCGCTCTGCTATCACAATTGTGGCTGCGCCATTAAATGTAACGTATTAACTGTAAAAGATGACGTTAGTTTTCGTCATTCATTTTGACTTCTGTCTTTTATTTCCTATTGGTTGTTTGACTTTTCCTATGAGTAGAACAAAAAAGAAAATCTAAAGCTTACAACTGAATAATACGTGAAAAAAAATGCGGAAGGAAGGAAAGAAAAATCTTCGCGAAATAAGAGCCTCTCTAGACTATTTATTTTGCCTACATCTATTCAGAAGATGAACATCGATTGACAACGTTGTCTTCTTATATTAAAAAAAAGTCATTGTTCTATAAAATCGTCCCTTTTTTCCTTTTTCTGAATATTCATAAACAAAAAAATAATGATAGTTAATCTTGTTGTTTTTTTTTATTATACTAGTATTTTAACTTCTTTTGAATCCTTATTATAAATCAATATATTAAGACTAATTTTAGATCAATGCTTGAACTTGCTCAAAGTTTAATATTAAATGAAGAAGCACTTAATAGTTTACCAGAAAATAAACGACCTGTATTTATTTATGAATGGCTTTGTTTTTTAAATAAAGTACTTGTTGCTGCACAAAAGGTAAATATCAATATTGATTTTCATAGTAAAAAAGAATTTTTTTTTCTGTATTTTGAAGAATGATATTCGTGAATGTCAACCACGTATTGTTGAACAACTTATGCAACAAGTTCAATATGCACCTGGTCCACCAATACGAACATTAATTGGTCGAAATTTAGCAACATTATTTAGTGTTGGAGATCCATTTCCATTATTTAATACAATTAATCGTTGTAATGATGCATTAAAATCAAAAGATGAAACTGCTAAATTGTAAATCATATTGTATATTTTTTTTGAAAAAAAAAAAAAAAACAAATTTTATTTGAAATATTCTTAAATAGAGCTACTGTTGTGGTTATTGGTGCACTTTATGAACGTCTTGGTCGATTAGTTGGTCGTTCATATGAAGAAACTGTTCAATTGTTACTTAAAACATTAAAAAATGGTGATTCTCAAATGCGTTTTGAAATTATGTTTACATTTGAACATATTATTAATGGACTTGGGTCAGCTGGTAATAATATTCATCGAGAAATATTTAAAGTTGCCAAAACGTATATATGTGATCGAGCAATGCCTGTTCGTTCAGCTGCTGCAATGGTATTAATAAGAAAAAGAAAACATTTCGGAATTTATTTAAGACATCAGAAATTCAAAAGAAGAGCAGAAACTATTTTTTCTGACTAAATCATACATCATTAGAAAGTGCGCATCGAATTGAATATAGAAAAAAAATAAAATAAAACGTTCGATTTTGCTAAAAATGATATTGTGTTGACGGTGAAAATTTTAATATTTCGGAATTTTTCAGTCCAAATCTTACGGTTTTGTAAACCAATCGAGGTTTTTTTATGTTAATAGTTGTAGAAAAGCTTTTTTCTCTCATTTAAATCTCCAGATAACAAACTACAAAGGTTGTTAAAAATTTGTCTTTTACAAAATCAAGTTCATATTCGAAATCAGTATCAAAAAGTGAATTAAACGATATTCGTTATCTTTCAAAAATAGTCAACTCGCTACATTCTTTTCTAATGATATATGATTCAACCAGGAACAAAAAAGAACTTTTAGCTCATGTTTTTAATTTCCGACAACTTATTTGTTTCTTTTTTAATTTTTAGTGTCTCATTGCTTTAATTAATCAAAATAATTTTATGTATACAAGTGAATTAGAAGGAAATGTAACATTAGGTTTTCGTGCACTTGATGGTTCAAATTATGAAGTTCGTTGTTCAATAGCAAAATATTTAGCAGCATTATTAGCTGCAACACAAGAAACAACTTTAAATCAAAATCAAAGTAAGAAAAAAAGAAAATATAATTTTTTTTGAAAAAATTATTATTAGATACAATGAATAAATCGAATGCTAATGCAACAAATATGAAAAAAATTAAAACAGAAGATTTATTAAATTATTTAGCTGGTGGATTTTTACGTGGAAATATTGGATTTTTAAAATCAAATACAACTGAACGTATTAAAGGACCAACAACAGTTCAACGTGAAATACGTATTGGTGTTACTCATGTAACAAAAAAAATTCAAAACTGTTCTTTTGTTTTCAATTTACAAAAGTTATTTTTTTGTTTATTTAGACTTATGTCGAATTAGCTCTTGTACTTGGTACATCATGGATTGAACAAAATTTATCTTTATTTATAAATCATATACTTGAATTAGCTGGAAATCCTCGTGCATCAACATCGCATGTTGATGCTGTTTATTCACGTAAATGTATTACATTTATACTTCGTTCAGTTATTGGTTCACGTCTTGGTGAAAAAGCACAATTTGCTGCTGCAAAAGAATATGCAACAATTATAACACGTTATACAACACCACAATTAATAACAAATAATACAAATTCGTCAACAATATCAACAAATGACTTACATATGTCAACTGGTTCATCATCACTTAATTCAAGTACAAATTCAATGGTACAATCATATGCATCATCATCAACAAATACATTTGAATCATCATCAAATATTGAATATACTCAACATATACTTATTTGTGCTTTACATGAACTTAGTTTACTTGTACAAAGTCTTGGAACATCAACATCATTATTATTACAAGATAGTTGTAATGGTTTAATAGATACACTTTTTTTAGTTATACTTAATCCATCACATAGTGTTAGATTATCAGCTGCATGGTGTCTTCGTTCGATAACAACAGCATTACCATCACTGATGACGCCATTGATCGATCGATGTCTAGATAAAATGAAGACTTTAGCAAAACAAACAACTTCTTATAATACTGATGCTATGTCAGGATTTGCACTTGCTTTACAAGCATTACTTGGAGCTGTTTATCGATGTCCATTAGGTTAGTTGAATGTTCTTTGTGGATTCTCATTTTATAATTTTTTTTTATTTGAAAGAGTATGTCAGACTGCAGTACTCGTCTGTTTAAATTCTTACTTTTTATGCGTAGGAAAAGAATGACGAATTCCATACGGTGAGATATTGTCATTTATTTATAGAAGTGCTTTTTTATGTAATAATAAAAAAAAGTTTAATATAAAGAAAAGGGTTCTGCAGCTTTATATACTCTTTCAAACAAGAAAAAAGCAATTAACTACTATGAAGTTCCTTTGAGAATTGTGTGATGCGCGATCATAAAATAATAAAAAGAGAAAAAGTGAAAAATATTTGCTGCTTTTGGTGAGAAAAAACATATTTTTCAAGCCGAAGGTGATGGAAATCATCAAAATTTTTGGGAGAAAAAAAAAACAATGTGATACCAAACAAAAATAGGCATCAAGCGACAATCATCTTAGTCTTGATTTTTCTGACGAAAATTGACTTTTTTAAAATACAATCTAATGAATTATCAAGTATGCGAATTCCAAACATGAGTATAATAAATCTTCTTATGTATTCATAATAACATTTCAATGTAAAAATATCTAAGATAATATTATTTCACTTACAGCTCATTGTTAAAAATAGATACAAAAAAAAACTTATACTCATATCAGGAATCAATATAGACGATAATGAATAATCTTATGTCTGCACCAAAATAAAAGAGCATTGAATGTAAGGTCAATAACTCGATAATGTCACCAGCTAGTGACATGTGTGGTTTTCAGCAATCGGAAAAGGAGAAATTCCGGACGTCTGTTTATCTCATACTATATAAGATAAAATTCTTTTAAAACCTATCATTTTCGCATAAATTTCGTTGAATTTTAGTTGTTTTTATATCAAAATTTTCTTGAGACAAACATCATTGAATGTTTTGCGAAGATTATGAGTTTTTTCAAATAATTTTGTCTTATATAGTATCTAACAAAAATAGGTTCGAAGTTTTCCTTTTTTAATTGCTGAAAACCGCAGATCGCTAGCTATCGCCTATTTGTAAGAAAGTGATTGAACAGTTAAAACGAAATCACACGTCTATTTATAACTCAAAAATTGAATTCTCTAGTCAAAATTAGCTTTTAGTAACTAAGATAAAGCTGAATAACGATCAGTATTTTATCCAGATTTTCTCTTCCGGAGGGGCGACGTACCCACACGGAATAAAACATTAATGATGATTTCCAAATATTAAGTCAAGCATAAGAAGTCATTACGCTTGTCAAACTTCTATTGATTGATTGATTAATTGAAAAAGTCTTCCGAATATATTATCAATTGATTTTATCTAATAGGTATTCCATCACAACGTGCTAAAACAATATTTGATTTTGCTGATGATCTTCTTCGTACAGCAACAACATCCATAGCTGGTCAACAACAATCATTAATACCACGTGTTATATTACAACGTACACACACAGCATGGCATTTACTTGCTGCATGTTGTACACTTGGACAACAAGTTATAAAAAAATTTGTTCCACGTTTAGTTCTTCTATGGCGTAATGTATTTCCACGATCGCAAGCTGATTTTGAACAAGAAAAACAACGTGGTGATTCATTTACATGGACACTTTCATTTAATCAACGTTCAGGTGCACTTTGTTCAATGATATCATTTTTAAATAATTGTTCAACAGGTGATGATCAATTAATAACAGATGATTTACTTAAACGTATGTTAAATCCAATTGAAAATGCAATACTTGTTCTACTTCATATACCAAATTTAATAAAACAATTTGGTCCACCGTTAAAAGCATCAACAGCTATGTTTCGTTTACGTTTATATGAACTTCTTTTACTTATACCAATTAAATTTTATGAACAACATTTTAAAGTTTTATTAAGAGAATTAGTTGCAGAATTTACATTAACTGATAATTCATCAAATACAACAACATCTTTACTTCGATCTGTTTGTCATGATAATGATAGTGTTTTACTTGGTAAGGATTTATCAATATTTTGATGAATTTATATCGATAATGAAACATTTGTTTAAAAGAATAGCATAATAGATAAAAGCTTGAATGACTTCAGTATATTTAAGTTTACGAGAAAACTATTTGCACTAATAATCTGCGTAGTTTTCAGCAATGAGAAGAGGAGAAATTCGGAAGTCTTCTCACGTTTTAGTATTGAACAAACACAATCGTCTAAGTATTCAGTCAAATTCTGTTGAATTTTGGGAAATTTTCTTCTGAATTTCCTTAGTTTTTAAATAAGTTTGTCTTACATAGTATGAAATACAAGAACGTCCGAAGTTTTCCTCTTCAGACTGCTGAGAAAAGCAGGTCGCTACTGAGTTTACACCTACTATTTTCTTTTCAAATTGAAAATTCTCTAATGAATTTTCTTGTTTGTATCCGTTCTCATCTTAGGTAATTGGCTTCAAGAAACTGATTATCAAATGATTGAAGAACAACTTCAACCAAACTCCGCTTGTGGTTCCGGTGCACTTGAACATGATGAAACTTCTCTATCATCGAGATACATCTTTAACTTCATTTAATATTATAAATTATCTTTTTCGCTCATCATCAACAACAGATAACAATTCTAGTAATGCTTATTATTCTCGTCCAGCGGAATTTAATATTCCAGATCCATTACTATTAGGTGTTGCTGTTATTGATGCATCAATTCTTCTTTATGGTACAATGTTTATTCGTGTACCAAATAAACATCGTTTAAATATGTTACAACATTTTATTGATATTATTAAACAATCGAAAGATGCACGACAAGAAGCTGTACAAGTTAATATATTTACAGCTGTTTTAACAGCATTAATAACATTAACAGAAACGAAACAATCATCATCGATGGATGATGAAAATGTTAAAAATCTGCCTATACACTTGTTACGCAAACATTAAGTCATCAAAATCCGATTTTACGTTGTGCAGCTGGTGAAGCTCTTGATCGTTTAACATAAGTTGTTGGTGATGGACGTTTATGCTGCTGATATAGCACAAATATGTTTTGATCGTTTGAGAGAATTTCGTGATGTACCATCTCGTACAGGTTATTCATTAGCACTTTGATGTTTACATCGTTATGTTGGTGGAATGAGTACAGGACAATATTGAAATTTATCTGTATCAATCCTTCTTGCACTTGCACAAGATCAATCAGTATCAATTGTACAAGTGTGGGCATTACATGCATTAGCATTAATTACTGATTGTGGTGAACAAATGTTTCGTTTATATGTTGAACCATGTTTAACACTTACTTTACACCTTCTTTCAATTCCACCATCACAATCAGATGTATTTCAATGTTGTGGGCGTTTACTTGGTGCTTTAATTATAACAATTGGTTCGGAACTTCAAACAAATACAAATTATATATCAATATTACGTTCATCATGTTTAACAGATAGTAATCTTTTACAAATGCATATTGAACCAATTGTTCAAGCAAAAGCGATACAAGCTTTACGACAATTACATTTATTTGCACCACGTCATGTTAATTTATCAACATTAGTACCGGAATTAATAAAAGCATTAAAAAGTCGAGATTTATCATTAAGACGTGCATGTGTTTCATGTTTAAGACAATTATCACAAAGAGAGGCGAAAGAAGTTAGTAAACATGCGAAATTATTTATGAAAGATTAAAGAACAAGATTTATCAACTGGACTTTCTGAATTTCGAAGTCTTGAAGGTTTTTACAATCTTTTTCTTTTTTTGAAATATTTATAATTGTCTATTTTAGAATTACTTTTTTCTATACTTGATACAGAAACAGATGCAAAATTATGTTCACATGTACAAGATAGACTTGTTTATATGCTACAAGCATTAGGAGCTAATAATTTAACACATTGGTTACAGTTATGTAAAGATATTCTTGCTGCTATAGCAGGTAATTATTCAGTCAGAGAATATGTTGATTCTCTCTTCAAAAAATTAAAATCAAGACAGGACTTTTACCGCTCATGAGAGCGTACTGATTGAATTTTAGGATTAGGTATGGATACCATAAGCTCATCGTTCATCATCCGGTTCTTTGATTTAACCGGCATGAGAAAGTCTAATACATGAATCGTCAACTAAATATTTCATAGTTTTTTCAGACTATTTCTGTTTGATGGAGCATCCCCGACTATCGGTCGCTGTTTGACCTCATATTTCGAGTACAATCACAACTCGGTGAGACTAAAAAAAGCATGAAACAATTCGGGCTCATGGACGGAGATCTGATTATCACAAGGGTCGAAGAAATGGTGTGTTCTCAACTTTTTAAAAGAAGTCCATTTTTTCGATTCTTAAGATAATCAGATCTTCGTTCAGACACTTTTTAGTCTCACGGAGTCCTTCTTGCGATCAAACGGCGTAGGGATATTCCCTCATAAAACATAACAACTTTTCTTATAATCTAGAAACATTTAGTACCAGACCAGAGCATCTTCTGAAACCGATCAACAACAAACTTCTACAACGGCAACTACTACAATATTATCATCATCATCTTATTCTAAACATTCTTCACGTCCTACTGGCGATGATGATGAAGATAGTTTTGGTCTTCATGGTGATGATGCTGATTATGCTGATACAGGTGGTAATGAACAATTACAAACATCTACAAATCAAAATTCAATGCGTCGTGCAACATTATCAGCTAAATGACCAATAAAAGTATTTGCTGCTGATTGTGTACAAAAATTAATAAATTTTTGTGAACAAACATCATCATCTAATCTTCATTTTGATAATATAGCTGCTAATGAACGTCTTCGAGGTTATCCAAATGAAGATTATCTTGTTGTACATTTAAATACTTTAATAACATTTTCATTTATGTCATGTACATCAACAAGTGATCAACTACGTTTATCAGGTTTATCATTACTCAAACAAATTATTCTTAAATTTGCTCATGTTGAAGAAGTTATTGATTTACTCGATCATGTTATCCTTGAACAATATCAAGCACAAATTGGTGCTGCGTTACGACCAGCTTTTGCACAAGATACATCATCACATGTAACAACACAAGCATGTGATGTATGTAGTACATGGATATCAAGTGGTGTTGCACATGATTTAAATGATCTTCGACATGTACATCAATTATTAGTATCATCATTACAAAAATTTACTTCAATACAACAACATAAAAATGATACATCAATGATTTATAGTGAAAATGCATTAACAATTGAAAATTTAGCTGGGCTTCGTGCATGGGCTGATGTTTATAATGTTGCAACAATACGACAAAATGAAGAGAAAACTAATAATGAAAATAGTAATTTATTAATTCTTGTACAATCAGAATTATATGTTCTTATATATCATTGGCTTGCAGCATTAACTGATTATCCTTTTTTAATTTTACCAAATGAATTTGGTGGTGGAACAGATGAAAATTCACATGGTGGAAATTTTTATTCAGCGGAATGGAATCTTGATTTAACAAGAACAATTTATAAAGCGAATTGGGCATCAATTATGCAAGCAACAACACAATGGCTTGGTGAACATCATTATGAGCATGAAACATTAGCTGCTAATCAAAAACTTATTGGATATAGACAAAGAGATATATTAATGACAAAATTTATTACATCAACATTATCAAATAAAATAAAAACATTTCCAGAAAGGAAAGAAGATATATTTGCTATGTTATTAGGTTGTTGTGTTGAAGCTTTATCAATTTCGATTTCCAAACAAGCAGATGAAACTATTGAAGCTATTTTATCTTCATTAATTAATTTACTTCAATCAGAAATTGCTGCAAGTCAGATAACTATGGTTGCTTTTATTGAAATACTCAATGTTCTTCAACGATAATCAGAAGTATTTTCTCTTCGGACGGAGTAATATAGCACTTGAAGGAAGCAAATATTTAGCTTCGGAGGGATAACTGGAGTACTTCAGATCAGCGATATTACGCGCCTGACTTTCACTGATATGTCCTGTTAATAAGTCTCTGATAGAGATGTCCGGGATCGATCTCACCCAGGTTAATCTTGCCAGATCGGATCCCATCGGATTCAAATGATTTCGGGCAGATCTCTGTCGGAATTTTCGGATTTTGGCGGACAAACTCCGGACCGGAATTCGATCGCAGGATTGCTTGTCCTGGGCAGTTCCGATGACCGGAATCGGGTCCAAAAAATAAAACTTTGCGGAAACCGAGACCGAGATCACGAGAAAGGGAAGTTGATAGGACTGTGACTACGAGAAAAAAATTTATTCGAGCCGAAACTAAAGATTGTACTTAAATGTTCAATATTTTTAAGCGAATTATCTTGAATTTAGAAGGATGGACTAAAAAACTGACATCTATCGACTGAATAATGAAAATACGAGTATTCAAGAATTGTTTTCTCTTGGCCGGCATGAAGACTGGAGCCCGGTGATTGTTTTAACTTTAGTCGAAAGGTTGAAGATGAAAGTGTATTACATCTTCATCTTCATTCCTCACCACAGTTAGGATTAAAACACTAAAATTACCGGAGCCGGGATTTAAAAAACTTGATCCCGCACATCTGTTGTGTCGGAACTGGATAAGGTCGAGTCTGTTTTTAAAATGAACTTCAACTACGAGTTCTTGCATCTTTGAAATATTTGATTGAGAGTGTTAAGGATAATTTTGGCTCCTACGGACTCTATCTATCAATCAGATAATTTGGTATATAGAATGTTATCGATCTATAGATCCACCGGATAATCATAATTTGACTGCAAAAGCAAATCTGATGTCTGAAGTAGCATCGCCCTTGATACAAAGGATTCACTTCGTCTTGATTTTGTAGGTTTAATCTAAGAAATATCTTTTTCTCTGTTCTTTTTTAGTCTTTATTTTGTTCGTACTGATTTAAAAACTCATATACGTATATTAAAAATTGTTGATAAAATCTTTCATATTGTTCCATCATGTTCACAAATGACAGCTAATGCTACTGAAGATCATCTTGTACCTGGCGAATCATTTTTATTTGCTTAATTAGAATTACTTGTTTGCGTTTTGTTAAGTTATTATCCGAATATAGCCGGTGATTTACAATTAGGTCCTATTTTTCAAATGAAATTATCTGGTAAATCAAGTTCAGATAATTATCAAATCAATGAATTAATTTTATCCGATGTTAAACTTCTTAGTGAACTTATTACATTATGTACAACAATTAAAGGTAATAGAAAAAACAAATAGAAATAAATTCTTATTGAAATTATTTTAAATTTAGGTCTACAAGCATTAATATCGGTTATTCTTCATTTATTATTATCAACTAGTTATGTTCTTCCTTGTACAAAAATTGATGATCAAAAACAATTATTATTAGCAATTATTCAATTTATTGAAAATATTTTTTCGACAAATATTGATAAGAATATTTTACATTTTACAATGATTATAATTATTAATTTACGAACAAATTGTAAGAAAATTTAAATAAAATCATATTTATTTTGGTTGTTTGTAGTGATAAATAAAGGTATATCTGATCATGGACATTTTGTTCAATGTCTTACATCATTAATTATCAATTCAACACCGATTAATTTAACCGATCAATGTCTAGATTTCTATTGAAAACCATCTGATGATAAAGAAACTGAAGTAAAAAAATATATTTATCAAAAAAAAAATTTAGAATATTTTTTAGACTCATATTCGTGTATTTCAATGTCTTAATCAATTATCTCAATATAAAAAAATTTCAATGCGTAATAAAAATTTATACAAATATTGAACAAGCATCAACATAGTGTCTTTCAATCGCACAATAAAAAAGACTTTTTTTACTGTGTCTGATTTTGATCGATTAATATCGTCATGTGACACCATCTATTTACCAATTTCAACTTCGAATATCAACATCCTTGGTGAGGAATAGGGAGATAGTAATGAAGATTCTACTGTAACAATAGTACCATATTCAAATCAAATCTAGTATCTGGGATTGCAATAAGTTCATTTTCAATATGAGCAGTACAGGAAATGTGGGTGATGCAGCTGTTAAATTGTTTTCTGTGGAAACGTTTAGCAAAGATTCACCAGATTACGAGAAGAATGTTTTTAAAGTATGTGCCAAATTCCGAATCAATTGATCATCTTCGTCGTTTGTTTTCTCCATTCAAAGGTTCTGGATGAAGTTTTAGAAATTCTCGATCAATTTTCTAGTTCATCTATGGAATCCAATCAAGAATCATCTTCGCAACAATACAATGCTGCGACGATTACTGCGATGAAGATTCGTGCACATACATTACGATTATCGAACTGGAATGGAAATTTTGAGAAACTTCCTAGTAAAACATGAAATTTTCTTACTCTCATTTTCACTCGCTCTTTTCCTAGTGATTCGATCGAGTTGTGCTGAATTAGGTAAATTGGGTCATACATTGAATAATGAACAATTGCATGTCTTCAACGAGAAATTGTTAGTATAGATTTTCTCTTGCCATTTCTCTTCAATTCATGTCTATTTTTTGAATTTTACACATGAAGAAAAACGTCATTGAATCAAACAATTCTTTGTCTGAGTACCACAATCAATGATTTGAATGTTAAAGGTAAGGGAAAATTTCATGTTTGTAGTTGATGATCAGATCGAGAACAAGTGACAAATTGGAGGAAAAATAGTTTGAGCTTAATCACAACTTCATTCTTCAATAGTTAGAAGCCAGATTTAAGCTTCTCTAGGGTTTCTCGAGTTTAGATTCAACCTACTTCTGCTCTGTGCAATACACTTTTCCTAGAAATCCAAAGATTTGTTGGTTTCTTTTTATCATTTTTCCCGATGGCATTGTCAAACATACGGAAAACAATCTTCGAATGTATGGTGATAAACTTTGTGCAAGATTCTTCACCGGGTATATTGATTTCGATTCTGCTTAGATATTTAAAGATGTGAAAGCGCGAAAGATGAACTTTCATTTTACCTTTTGTAACCTAAGTAACTAAGAATGCGTTGTAACTTTACATATAAAGAGACAAAGAATAAGAAGATTTCAAAATGATTTCTTATTTCATGTTTCAAAAAACAATCTCTTTCATGTGTGAAAAAAAGAATGCTCTGGAGAAATAGTTCTCTCTATGTTGAGAGTTGATATTAAACAAACTTGAAACAATCTTCAGTAATTATTCTCTAAGTCTTTCAAAAGAAACAGTCAAAATAGAATCTTATCGATTCTGTTCTTTATTTAATTCTAGACCAATGAAAACCCGTAGCCGTTCGTTGTCACCTCGTAAAAAAGCCAATACGAGAAAAAATTCGCCAATTCCAATCATCGACGAACATGGTGACAAGCAACTTTCATCAGTCTCTTCAATAACAAAGAATATTCTTGAAAGTTCGATCTTCGTTCATAAAATTATCAATGAACCAATAATCTCAGATAAAGCACCATCAACTGAACATGCTGAAGAATGATTTGTTATCCTATTGAAGAATGAAGACAATCGTTAGCGGTATTTGTTTCTCACTAGCTGAAATATCCTTGTCTTAACGTATCGTCTCTTCTTCATTTTTTTATTTGTTTTTCTCTTTGCACTGATCTTTTGATCTGCTGATCTATTGTTGTTTTTCAAGATAAATCATTTCCTTTTATTTTTATCTCGATCAAACTTTCAGATTTTTAACATTTCCAATCAGTTTATTCTGATCAAATCGTGGACGGTTGGTGGTTTATATCACATGTTTAATATCGATCACTTCCCATGTTCACATGAAAGTAATCGAGAAGTCCTTTCTCTCATTTGATATTTGCTTGAATTTTTCCGACTCATTTTCAACAGTTTGTCTCTCGATTTCTGTCTATCATTAGCCAAATTCACGTCGAAAAGTCGATTCTTTTGATAGGTTTATTCATAGTCATTGTTAAGGTGTTGTCTGAAATGAAATTGAAGAGTGGAATGAAGAAGAAAGCTGACAAAAAAGATGGTCGACTTCATAGGCATTGCACTGTAATTGATTGATCATTATAGAAAGAGTGATTATCTTGAGATGAATTCGTTGTTTTAAGGAATATGAATATCGAATGGAGAGAAAGTCCAGTCAAGTCGTAACCGTGCCGAATTCTTTGCATTGACTATTGAAAAAGTTCAGATATTTTCATATTTGTCTTTTATTCAATGGTTAGCGGGAATCAAGGTTGAGGATAAGGGAAGATCTGCTTGATTTGAATGATTAATAAAATTTGTTATTTGTTCAAGGATTATATTATCCAGAAAATAAAACTAAGTGGAATTTTGTTTATTATTTGTATACAAGGCCGAAGTTGATTATGTATTTAAAAACAAATGCAAGCAATCAAAATAAATGAAATAAAGCATAGAAATTCTCAATGTTCGCTGTATTTTTATTATCTTATTTAATTTGGAGAGAAGCACTAACATAGAATCACGTTTTTGCACGGGTTCTTTGATTGAATGTGAACTATTTTGTTTGTCTTTAATGAGTTCATAGTGTTTATAACTCGTGTACTAATAAATAGTTGGTTCCATATGTGATAGAAATTGTTCTTATAATTTTCAAGTCACATTTCAAGTTTATAACGAGGAATAAGACAATTAATTATTTTCAATGGCTCTTATAACTTTTTTAACAATTTCATACATCACTTCTACATAGACTAATATTCTTTTTTGCCATTCTTGATGCTATTTTATATTCAACAATAATCGATATTGTCAGTTACTGACATGACCGGTTATAATGCAACAAGACTTTAACTGAAAGTTGTACGATCATCTATCGAATATCAAATTATCTTGACAATGTTTATTAATATACCAATAAATAAATCTTGTGAAATAGGACTAAAAAAAAAATCAAATTTTGAAGCAATAAATAGTGATTTTCGCCATTGAAAATAACTACAATAAATAGCTTCAAAGTATTTAACTATCGTTGACATTTAATTATGAAAAAACGTTTTTTCTTAAGAACAATCAGTTTAGAATATGCAGGACCTTTATTTGTTTATTGGTTGTTAGCTGTATTTTTTTCATCATAACATAAAGAATGCGCACATGATTATTATATCCCAAGCTTACTATTACATAGAAAACAACAACCATCTTATTAGTCAACAAATTAATAATAGAGGTCATTCAATAATCGACAGGCGAAAAGTATCAATATCATCATACTCCATTCATCTAAGTGACAAGAATAAAAATTTGTTAAAGAAGAATTTGAAAAATCAGGCTATGTTAAGTTGTGTTGGCAAGTGCTGGCTATATTTTGACGCCAACCCAAAGTCTGTATCATTAGATTTCGGAGAGAAATCTAGGACACACAGAGACCTACTTTCTAATCCTTCAAATAAGGATAACTCTTGAACAATTCAATATTTTAGGCTGAGATTTTTACTGTAATATTCTTAAGTCCAGGTCCACATTTTCTGAGATTTTCAGCTAGATCGGTTGTTCGAGGACGAAACTAGATTTTTAACAAGAGAGGAAGCTTACAGTTGATTTGAATATGTTTAGAGTTTATAATCAACAAATGACAACTGATGGTAGGCAGTATTTCTAATGACAAAGTGCGCCATATATAGTAAAGTGCGCGGAATATCTGTTTTTTGTAAGCGTACTCTGTTTGCACTCTGAGTAAAAAAAGAAGGTGCACGGTGAGCACTATGTTCTGCATATACTGTTCTTTTTCTGATTCTAAAAATCTTCGTGATAATCTTGTTGATATACACAAAGAAGATGATAGTTTTGAACTACAACAATCAGCTTAAGTAATTCAAGGCATTGATAGTGAATGATCTGAAAATAAATAAGAGATCGACAATTGTACGTATCTTCTTGTTTGTTTGTTTTTCAAATAACTATTTTGAATTACTCTGGCCATTAAATAAGGATATGTTCGAAAGAACATTTTGTTTCTTGCTACATCAATCTCCTTTTCAGCTGTTTTTCATAAATATTCACTATATATAATCTATTTGAATGTCTTAACGTTGGTCGTAAGTAAAAATGTAGAAAAACCAAAATATCGACAACAACGATAATACAAATTTCGAAAGGCAAAGATGTCAAAAATGACAAAATATGACAGTGGGAGTCGTTATCATCTTTACTCTTACATGCTCAACTTCACACACATTTCTGTTTTCGACATTTTTACTTGGCCAAAGTTGCGTTTGCCATTTATTTCATCTAACTTTGTTGATACAGGTGCGGCCGAAAAAAACCTTCATACAGAAGACATTATACTCTTGGAAAAAATTTCATTAACTTAATAATTTAAAGAAGAAAGATGTTACCTATTTTGCCATGAAAAAGCGTTCAAACCCTGTATTTTAATAGAGTCTCACCAGTACTTTCTTGTTAAATTGAGATTAAGGCAGAATAACTTGTGAAACTCCGTTTGAACACAGGATTGGTATGCGTTTTCACCACCAAATAGGTAGGATCTTTTCTCCTTATACCTTCATATTCATAGGAATATTCACATGAGATAGATTCATTTGACATTCTTTTGTTTTCTAAATTATACGCACTATGTACGCTTTGTCCGAAATTTCAGAGTGCCGAAAAAATTTCGTCGCAAAACAAAGTGCGCAGTGCGCACTCAACATGAAGTTCTCATTAGAAACACTGGACTCAGTGAAAAAGCCATCTAACACGTGGAGAAGTTGTCTGATGAGTTTCGTAAATGTCTATTCGCTATTGATAGAATATCGGAAGAAAGATACATGATTTTTTTTGTCATCTACTTCTATTGATACGATGAAATTCTAATCGATAAAACGATCAAGTCGACATATATTATTATTTTTTTTCAGCGTTGGAATAAAGGTGTTTTGAGTGATAATGATGATGAAACAACAATAAGTAGTTCAATAAGTCAACAATTTGGAAGTACAACAGTTAGTTCATCAATAAATAATCGTTTATCACAATTAAATATAAATCGAAATCAAGATCAAGAACATATGTCTGATATTGAAGGATGAACAGGGTATGGGTGTGGGTATGGGTCTGGGTGTGGATGGGTGTGGGTGTGGGGTGTGTGGGTGTGTATCTAACTCTTGATCAACCCACACCCACACCCACACCCACACCCACACCCACACCCACACCCACACCCCACACCCACATCCACCCACACCCACACACCCACACCCACACACACCCACACCCTTTAGGTTCTTGAGCATTATCAACCAATGGATTTTGTTTTAATATTAGTTCGTACATTATGGCTTCGAAATTCTCAAAATTTTAAAATAATTTTAATGTCATCAACAATTGAAATAGATAAATTAACTCATTATTTTCGTCAAGTTATTAATGGACAAATTCTTCCAGCTTATCAATTTCAAATAGTTGATCGACTTTTTGATGCTCAAGATATGTATTTAGAACATATACAAAATTATGGTCTTGTTAGTTATTCTTGTATTAATCAAAGATTTTTGTTTATTTTTAAATTTTCTTATTTTATAGTTACCAGATTTAAAATTAAGTGAAGCACGTTTATCTCGTGAAGCAGTTGATCTTGCTATTAAATTAATAAAAAGTTTTGATGATGAAGATAGTATGGCAGGATGGGATCATACGAAAAATTTACCTATTAAACGTACAACTGTACTTGTTTTTCTTCCTGGTTTACTTGAAATGCAAACAGTTCATGAAGCTCTTCGATTTCCACGTGGAAAACCAGATTCAGCTAAATTTAATTTAGATGATTATGATGAATGTTTAAAATTTAATTATGATATTATTTCATTACATTCAGATTTAGCTATGGATGATCAAATGAATACTTTTACACCAGCAAAAAGTACTTTTAGAAAGGTAGTTTTTTTTATTTGATATATATATATTGAAAATTATTCAATAATTTAGTAATGTTTAAATAGAAATTTGAATTTTAGTTAAGGATACGCAAGTGTTGCTCTAAATACTGTCGTTTACTTTTTGATATTATTGACAGATATAGAGACAATAGTTCCATACTAATTTTGATTTTGAGAATTTTTTTCGAAAGTTTATTTTTTGTCAGTTGATTTACTTAAACAATTATTTCGAAGAATCTATTTGAAATTTTATAATATCAAGTCTCTTAAGTCTAATCGAGGCCAAAAAATATAGAAGAAATTAAGACGAGAAGAGAACAATTACTTAATAGATTCTTCAGAAGTTTGAATCTCTTTTAATATAATTGTTTTGAATCAATAGTTAAATCTAATAGATTGTAAAGAAAACAAAGTCAAATAAATCTTTTTGACTATTTCTCATTTTGTCATTCGAAAATTTCATATAGAGATACTTTCAATAATATGTCCCAAATGGAAACATTGAATTTAATCTACTAAGAAAAGAAGAACACATCATTGAAATAAAATGTTGTAAAGTTCTTCTAACGGCATCAAATTTTCAAAGCGTTATCGACATTATAGTGTTTTGTCTTGGAATAAAATGCTGTTAGTACAGTTCTTATGAAATTGAAATATGAACCGCGGTCTGTAAGGAATAGTTGCTAAGATGTGTGATAAGAGTAGTTCCTATATTTCAAACACTTTTTATAGATCGTATTTTAGAAATACTTAAAGATTCGTCTTTTTGTTTTATTCGTTAATTTGTTTGTGTTTTATTTTTGAAAGATAATTTTGGCAACAAATATAGCTGAAAGTTCAATTACAATTCCTAATGTTCGATACGGTAAGATCAATAAATATATTTTTATTTTCGATTAATTATTGTGGTAAGAATAATTTTTTGTTTAGTTGTCGATTTTTGTTTGAATAAAGAAATGGTTTGTGATCCAGAAACAAATTATTCATGTTTACAACTTGTATGGGCATCAAAAGCGAATTGTGATCAACGACGAGGTTCTATTGAAACTCTGTTTTTTTTTTGTTGTCGTTATGAATGATTGTAAATATATTTGTTCAGGTCGAGCTGGTCGTGTTGCACATGGAAAATGTTATCGTCTTGTTAAATTACATTTATATAATTCTCTTCCAGCTTATCAAAAACCTGCACTTGTAAAAGAATCACTTGATCGTGTTGTTCTTCAAGAAAAAAAATTAAATATTGGAGAACCAAAATCTATATTAGCTCTTGCATTAGAACCACCAAATATCAATGATATTGAAGTGACAATACTTAAGTTAAAAGAAGTTTGTGCAGCATTAGCTTGTTTTTTTTAATGTCTATAAGAAAAAATATATTTAGGTTGGTGCATTAACAATTCATATGGGTCAAGATGAAATTCGTCCATTTGATGGAGATTTAACATTTCTTGGAAAAATAATGGCAGCATTATCCATTGATATTGAATTATCACGTTTAATTGCATTAGGACATGCATTTGGTTTAGTTTATGAAGCTGTTATTATAGCTGCATGTTTATCAACAAAAAGTATTTTTAAAATTTATTATAAAGATCATTTAGCTGCTTATAAGTAATATTATATTTAGTTTTTGTTTTATTAATTAATTATTTTATTTTAGAAGTAAATTTAATTTTGCTGTTGGAACATTTTGTGATTGTCAAGCATTTTTAAATGTTTATAAAGTAAAGAAAAAACAACAAAAGATAAAGTAAATGCATATTTTAATGGATTTCTTTTAGACATGGCTTTATCATGAAAGTAATCAACAATTTCGAACAACTGATGCTGAACGTCGTTGGGCACATTTACATAATGCTGATATAAAACGTTTACGTGAAGTACATTTACTTATTGATGAATTACAAAATCGTTTACGTCAATTACATATATTTGTACCACATGATGTTGAATCAGATCAAATGCAAAGACGAAGAAATCCAATTACTCAATAACAAAATTTATTAAATCTTAAAGTTATTTTATTAATTAAATTAATCATTTTTCAATAGTTTTCTTTTTTTTTATTTCTTCTCTTGATTTAGATTATCATTGCTGGTGCTTTTTATCCGAATTATTATATTCGAGAACCGATTGAATCTGAAGCAGTTGATCGAGAATTGTCATCAAAAGATCCATTTAGAATAATTATGGTAAATTTTTATTTTAGTTTTTGTTTCTGATATATCAAATTTAATCGAAGAAAATTATTTATCCATCTACCTTGCCACATTCTAAAACTTTCATTTTTGAAACTTTTCGACATAGAAGATTAGTTTTTGGGAATGCTTGTCCCATGCAAAAAAGACCTAAAAAAAAAACTTCCTTCTAATCGATTTATCCTTATTTAAGAATCGATTAAAATCATTTTATCTTATCTAAATTATGAAAATTCTTATTAATTCATTCTCTATCATCATACCTACGTTTATTCAACAGATTTGGGTCACATGAAAGATCTCACCAACAAACTAATGACATGTACGAATTAAGATTTCAGCAAAATTTATTTTTTCCTCTTTTCTTCATAAATCAAATAGAAATCATCAAGTTACATAAGTATGTTTCATATGTAGAAAAAGATATTTGACGAAAGTAAGAATTTCTTCTCGTTTTTCTCCGATCAATTTTTGTCATATTTTAATTGAACTTGAAATCTAATTGAATTGTTTTAGCTTCGAAATGTTCCATTAAATGAAGGAATTTTATATCGAAGTCAAATTGAAAAACAACTTAAATCATTAGTTGATATTGAAGATATGAAAATAACATTTGAAAATACAAAATATAAATATAAAAATTAAATATAATTATTTTTACATCTTGTTTTTTGCTTTCTTTAAAAAACAATATAGAGCACTTGTTGAATTTGCTCCACAACATTCAACTCGTCAAATTGTAAATCCATCTGAATTACCTATTGATCAAATAGTTACATTGGCAACATCACATACAAATATTTTACCAGCTGTTTATTTTACTGTGGAAGCTCGGTAAAAAATTAGAAAAAATAAATAAATTCTTTTACATGCTAAAATTCTTTTTTTTAGAATGACAAAATCATAAAATAATTTTGCAAACATTTGAACGGTCAGCAGCTTTACAACGTATTAAACGTCTTCGTTTAAATTTTGTCTCGTGGAAAAATACAAAATGATATGCTAAATGATGAAAGAGATTTATTTGAAGAACATCGTGATGCTTTACTTCGTTTAGCTCAACGTCAAAGTAAAATTAGTTTAATTAAAAAGAAAAAGAAAAATAATTTTTTTAATTTTCTATTTTTTAGCAAGAATTTATTCGTTACTACAACAAAAATTACCTGATATAAAATGTCAATATTTAACAAAAAATGTTTCAACTGTTGTTGATGTAAATCATTTTTGGGCACAATTTGTTGATCGTGAAACAAATGCACAAATGAAACAAATCAATTATATACTTTCACGTTCATTAACTCCATTAGCATCAACATCAATTGAAGTTGGTATGATGTGTGCTGCACCATTTATTCTTTTATCACCACGAATAACAACAACACCAAATAATAATAATAATAATAATTCTCAAGTTGTTAAACGATATCAATATTATCGAGCAAGAATTACACATCGAATTGATAATGTTACAGTTGAAGTATTTTTTGTTGATTGGGGAAATACTGAACAAATTTCTATTGATCAATGTAAGTTTTATATTGAAAAAAAAAACAAATGTTTTTCATTGTTCAATATTTATTTAGTATGTGCACTTGATCCATCTCTTTTAAAAATTGCTCCTCTTGCATTTGAATGTCAATTATGGTCAATTCGACCCAAATATAGCTCGTTATCGATTAAATAATTGGCCAATTCAAGCACTTAATTATGTTTGTTCACTTATTCTTGAACGACAAATTGAAGCCGAAATAAAAGCTGTTGCTCGAAATATTGTTAAATGTTATATTTTATTAGATATACAATCAAATCGTAATCATTCTCCTCATCAACAATATAAGGGAATGTGACGGACAACTCTTCGACAAAGTTTAATTAATAAAAGTTTTGCTGAAACAACAAATGAAGAACATATTTTTTTAAGTAAATTTTATATTTCAATAGAAAATATTTAATTTAAATGAATTTTTCCTTTTACTTTAGCATGATTATCGAATACGTCGTGATGCTCAACGATTTGTTAGTCATACAACTGATTTATCATCAAGTACTGATCCAAGTAATACATCAGTACAAATGATTGATATTCCGAAAGAATTATGTGAAGTTTATGAACGAAAAAAAATTGGTCAACCAGTAACATTAACTGGTAAATTAAACAATTTATTTTAGTTTTACTTTATTTTATCTGAATGTATGATTGTTAGGTCCATATTTACCATTAGAAGCAAATCATTCATCTTGTCATTATGCAACAAAAATGCGTCGTGTTCAAATTGATGGTGAATCGATAAATTCAGTTGGTTTAGAAGAAGAACAACATTGTAATTATCGTCGTTTACTTGTTTCATTTGGTGTTCATCTTTCACAGACACGACAAATTGTTTTACTTCGTCATACAACTTTAATACCATCTATTCGTGTTTTACCAGCTTTAATTGCTATGATTTTTGCACCAACAAATTGAATTAAGGTTATGATATTAAAAACTAATCACAGTAAATTGTACTTTAAGTTTTTTAGACTTGATGAAGGAGGAAAAATGAAAACAGGTGTTTTGTGTGATCTTAGTTTTAATCCAGTAATAAATACTTCTCTCTATCCTGATCATGATATGGACATTGGATTTGATGTACAAATATCAATTGAAGATCTTGTTCGTGTATGTTTCATTTTCTTCTTTCGTTTGCTTTTTTATTTATTTACTAATAAACTTTACAAATAAATGAAATTCGTAAACAAATGAATTTAGCTTTATATAGTCCAGAATCAGCTGGTAATAGAGATTTAATGCGATCAGTTCGACGAATAATTATTACTGAATTACAAAAGTTAGTCATATTTTTCGAAAAGATATGCGATAAAGATGAAGAGAAAAAGAAAAGTGAGGGACGATAGTGACGACATGGACCAGTTGAAAGAGTGAGTGAAGATCATAATATTGTTACGATACTACCGACTTTCCTCTTCCGGCTATGTTGTTTATCGAAAATTGAACTTTTTTCTCTTGAGCAAAGTAGCCGATCATTGTTCAACAGACGATATAAATATAAGGACATATACTATATACATTATCACCTCATTCATTACTTCCATCTCTTAACATTTCCTGTCTAGTTATGGCGATTGACACAGCACAAGTATGTAGTCTTTGATACTGTTCTCACTTTGTTTCTTTTATATAGAGCACCGATTCAAATTTTTCTGATCCAGTCTCGAACTTCCCAAATCTTTGTCAGTATTAGTAAATATTTCAATAATTTCCTCTAAAAAGTCTTCGGTAAAAACGAACATTCTTCAGAAAACATTCGTTTTTGTGCAAGGATTTGTCTCCTATGATAAAATTCTAACATATTCGATACTCGATACTCGATTCTTATTCGAGTGGTTGCGTTATTGATTATGTTCTGCACATTAGTATATATTTCAAAAAATGACAACAATCATAAAATTAAAAGTTTTATTTAATTTTGAACCAAGAAAATTGATTGCAACAATGATTGTTGCCATGTCTGTTTCTTTGAGTTTTTCACTCTTTTACTTGATACTTAATATTATCTGATTTTTTTTTCAGAAAAACCGTCTCTCTTTCGAGATTATGAAATTGACGTTCAAGTTGGAAGAATTAATCAGACAAGTACCAAATGGCCTTATATTTAACATGACACCAATGCAATTGACAAGATACAATGCATTGGTCGCTCAAAAGGATGCCATGATGGCGGAATTATACAATCTTATGCAACTTGATCGTGATATTTGAAAAATTATACGTCCCAAAACTTTTTTTCTTCGTTCTTTCATTTGTTCACTATCTTCGTTATGTTTGTCTTCTCATTTAAAAACTAAAGCTGATATTTTACAAATGAATATATTCATAAACAAGCACACATCGTTTTGAATCTATATGTTTCTATAGTATTACACTTATTTCATCAATACATCATCACTCATTTAATCGACAAGAATCAAGATTACAAGAACCAGCTGGTTCTTAACAATAGAATGATACAAGAATTAACACTCATAAACAAAATGAATGGATATTTTTCTTACGTGCACTTTACCCACAATGCATTCGTTTGTTTTCATCAGAAGCAAAAATGTCTATCTTGGAAAGAAAAAGAGTAGAAGCAAGCGATTTGTTTTTCACGGAATTTTGAAAAAAGTTTCAAAATTAAAAGGTCAAGTTCTAAAAGAAACTACAGGTGACAATAAAATGAATGAATCTCTGTTTTGTTCTGAAAACAAAGAAAAGCCATCTTGTGATATATTTGTTTTTTTATTACAACATATTAGATAATTGAAAATTGAAATGCAAAGCATAGTCATTAATATGCCTCACATATTGATAGAGTTCACAGAAAAATAGTTCTCATCGAAATTTTATTATTATGATATCAGATGAGTATTGATCAAATAGCATAGAAATGTAGACTTTCGTTTCTACTATCAGTCTATATGAAAAGAAAATTTCTTCAAGCATTCCATTAGAAATTTATATAGCTCTGTTAAGACTTTTGATATGACCTAAGTATTTTTGCGAAACCAACAAGCTACTTCAAAAAGCTTAAACATAATTTACATATTATTACTTCTTAGAAGATGAAAATACTTTGTTTCAATGATCTTTTGATTATTGAATCTTCTGGATGATCAATCCGAATAAAAGAATACTAGATTATCATCAATGAGCAAACTGAATAACATTCTGAGCGACATAATAATGTCAACTAAAAAAAAAGTTCTGAGCTTAAATTTAAACTATACAAAGAAATTATTTAATATGTGACCATGTGAAAAGTCATACGAGTTTTTTGAATTTCATGTAGATTTGTTCTGATTTTTCTCATTGAACGAAAAAAACCATTGCTTATTAATGCTGTTTTCATAATATTTATTCAAATTTCGTACAATAAATTGAAACTTTTTTTCGGTATACAATCATTATTATCGTTTCACAACTAGGAAAAACATAAATATTTAAATAAACAAACAACACACATAAAACTATGTATTTACAAATCTTTAATCAATACTGATTTTGTTATAATCACCCACATCCGCAAATAATATTTCAACATTAATATTTTCTTTATCATAATTATTAATTTCTTTTAAATACCATTGTTTCTTTTTAGTTAAGATATTTTTCCAAAATCCATGATAAAGAACAATCATATTAAGATAAAGTCGTTCATCATTATTCATTATTCGTTGAGTTTTTGTTTCACTTGGAATCCAAATAATTTGACGATCAGATTGTAAATAAATAAGACAAGGAATATTATGATTAACAAGTCCACCTTGTCGTTTCGTTGCCATAATGAATTGTCGACCTACATTATTCTTATAATTTAATTCAATTTCATTTAATGATGATGTTTCAAATAATTGAACGAATTATAAATTTGAATTTTTGTTCAAAAAACTATGAAGTAGAACTTGAAGTGGAAGAAATGGAAATTCTTGAAATAAATTTCTGTCCAAACTTTTCGAAGACGGCAAACTTTTGATAAATCATTATTACGACCGCGACGAATCATATTCCATTCATAATTTGATTGAGCTTGTTCAATAACTACACTAAACGTATGATACATCGAAGAATTTTCATGACTATAACAAATAATATGTGATGATGGAAGAATTATATTTTGTCGAATATCATCAAGATTAATATAAATTTGATTATTTGATTGACTTTTAATAAATTGGGTAAATATTTGAATCAATTTGAATAAAACCACCTGCTCCATCAACAATTGAAAGATCTAACTAAAATGCAAAAATGAAATTTTTTCTTAGAAAAATCTCTATGGGATTGAAATGTGAAACAAGATCGAGCTGCTGTTGCGAACTATAAGGAGATTGATTTATTCTATTTATTTTGGAGTGCATTTCTTCACCACCCATTTACTTAATCGAACAATAATGGAATAAAGAAGTAATTCACATATTAGAACGAGACGCTTTTCATATTCACTCAGATCGTATATCAACGTCTGTCACGATTTGTGATGCGTGGAGAAATGTTGCTAACAAGGAAAGTCTTCTACCTGACAAAATACTTTTTAGTCGAGACTATTCGGATTATGTAGGCGCAAATGACCTACCAATACCCTGAACAGTTTTCGTGCTCTTAGTTTATTGCTGCGGACATACTGCACATTTACGATAGTTTTGTAAATGAATGCCATAGCCTCCTCAGGAGTATCAGAAAAACTAATTTTCGAATTTAAATTTGAAACATTTCATAGACACAATCCTTAATGAAAGCAGTTTATTGTAAAAGTTTCTGATCATTTGATTTGCTCTAATCCAGATATACAAGTATAAAAAATCACACTATCACCATAGTTGTATCTTAGATCAGAAACAACAACAATATCTGAAACATTCACAAAAAAAAAAACATTATTCTCGTTAACGTCTGTCTCTATGCAAAATATGAAGTCAAAACTTGAAAATTAGTTTTTCTATTGTTCTTGTGAAGGCTACGGCATTCATTTACAGAACTATCGTAAATGTGCAGTATCGTGACAGAAAAAAGCTAAGGACACCAACTCTTTTCAGGGTATTCATAGCTTATTTGGGTCCACATAATGAGCATAGTCTCGATTCAAAAGCAATTTATCAATTGAAGAACTTCCTTTGTAAGGTGTCCGCCCATGATTTTTCGGGAGGTGCAAATTTCTGTCCTGTATATTACAACACTTCTGTTGGATCGTGTTTGATAAAAAAAAAAACTTAATTTCTTATACGTTCTTCAAAAAATGATCGTCGTTGAGCCATTTTTGTTGATAAAATGCATGTTGAATTCATATTGTTTTTTTCTGTTAATCGAGTTAAAACTATTTTTTCATCTAATATCCATCGATCACGTGCTTCTTGACGTATTCTATTCAATGTTTCTTGCCATTCTTCACATTATTCAATAGAATGAATACCATTTTGAAAATTGAAATCTTTTGTAAGATTTACAATAGATAAAACACCATCAAGCATTGAAACACTCAATAATTGATAATTTGACCAATCTGAAGTATCACTTAATGAAGATAATTCATCATAATAAATTTTCTCTGTGTTTGTCATTTCAATAACAGGTAAATTTCGAATATCAACTAAACAATNTTCTTTCTTTTTAATGTATTTGAAATAAATTATAACTCTAAAAATATACGTCTAATTAAAATTCTGAATTTAGATTCAGAATGAGCATAAAATTTTCGTATTGAAGCAATACTAGACAGTTTCTATTGACTATTTTTTAATCGTTGGAAAAATGAAGGAAAGTTTTGTATTAAAACTTTCGATCTTTTTAATCATCACTTCTTTGTCTGTCGATATCAGAAAACTATATTCGAAAGAATTTTTATGAATAAACAAGTCAACAAATTAAATTTTTGAATACTAAATACTAACAAAACAGAGGTACTATTCTGTCAAAGAAAACAAATGAGTTTAAAATTTTTATTTCGTCGAAACTTCATAAACTCACGAAGGCACGTTTTTTACTGATCAATTGTTTTCTCACTGAAAACTACTGGATATGACCATGAGAAACTCTCGTAGGTTTTCATTTGCTTATTTTCTAAACTAACAAAAAATTTGTCTAAAATCGTTTTGAACTTACTGAGATATCTTCTCTGTTTTCTAAAAGCGAACTTTTATGTAAAATAATATTATTTTGAAGTATTGTACGAATTAAAGTGGCTGTATTTTGTGCAAAAAAAAAAGAGAACGATTTGAAACAGAAAAGTCATTGTTTCCTAGACAATTCATTATGTTTTATAATCTCGACAGAGTAAAAACCATGTGTTTGCCGAAATACTAGCATATAAAGATCTAAGAGAAATTCTAATATTTATATTCGGAATCACAGCATGATTGATAATTTACTGTTCATTAAGTGAAAACTTCAATTACAAAAGTAAATTGTGCAAGCTGATATAATTAAATGAAAATTCGTATAACTTTTGTCTCATTAGTTACAAAATAATCATATAAATGATATGACTGTTATTGAAAAGTTTATATGTTTGATTTTGTCTAAATCTTAAGGAATTATTTGCTTATTTCTATAGTGGCGGTGGTAAATCATTATGGGATGCTGCTAGAGATATTGTTGCAAGCCGAGAAAAAGGTAAATATTTAAAGTAACATCATTATATATTTCTTTTACTGGTTCTTTTTTTAGCTGAAACATTACCAAATGAATCGAATACAGTTCTTTTTGTTGGAAGTCGAACTGGAGTGAGATAAAATAAATTTTATTATTGTTAATATGATTTTTGTTTAGGGTAAAACAACAATGATTCTACGATATTTAGAAAGGTTTGTTCATTGATCTTGTTTTTAGAGGAGATTTTGAAAATTTATGAGTTAGACTGTTACAACTAATATTTCAATTTTAATCATGATTTTATCATTCATGATAGAGATGCATAGGACCATGGGTTTATTAGTTCTGATCTCGAATCCGACTTACAAGGGAAGCCCTCCAACTGATAAGTAGTTTTTGAGTCGAGACTATGTGCATTATGTAGTCTCCAATAAGTTACGAATACTCTAAAGAAAGCTCTTGCCCTTGGCTTATTGTTATTGAGAGTCTGTCATTTTATGGTATTTTTTTAAATGAATCGCATGGTAACAGAAAAACTTACTTTTGAAATTCAACTTGAATTTTTGCATAGAGATAGACTTTACTGAGAATAGTTGTTTGTGAATGTTTCAAGTTGCGTCGCTGTTTTTATTCTAAAATCGAACTATGGTAAAAATTTAAATTCTTCTCTAAGCCTATATTCATACAAGGTTTCGAGTGAAAATCCGAAAATCATTTTTTTTTTCTCATATTACTGCATCTGTTTAAAAAAATACTGTAAGAGATTGCAGTATCTCTGCAGTAATAAGCTAACAGAATATTCAAAGCTCATTTCTTTAGAAACTCTAACTAGAATTTCTAGTTTCAATTCGAGTAATTGCTTTTTTTTTGTTTCGTAGTTCCAATCATTAGAGATATTGTACTCATAATTAGATTTCAAAAGATGAAATCTCTTTCTTAATAAAACTTCAATTTTTGAAAAAGAAATATTTCAAATTTGGTTCTTTTATTTTAGAACAAACGAAGCTGCAAAACCAACAATCGCACTTGACTATAATTATGCAAAAAAACCGAAAACTATAGATACAGTAAATAAAATTTATTTGTCTTTTTTTCTTACATTTATTTAAATAGATAGGAAAAGATGTTGGTCATATATGGGAATTAGGTGATGGTACTTTTCTTACTAAATTAATCGATGTTGTTCTTACACCAGAAACAATAGCGTATGTATTTTATTTCATAATAAATTACAAATAATTTCTTGCAAACAAAAAAAAAAAACAAAAATTTCAGAAATGCATCGGTTGTACTTGTACTTGATTTATCTCAACCACAAGAATTATGGCATACATATCAAACTTTATATGAAGCTATAGCTAAAAGAGTTAAATATTGTATTAGTGAAGCATCAAAACAAAATCCAAATATAAAAGAAAAACTTAAAGAATCGGTTCTTAAACGTCTTGGTAATCCAGTTCGTTTGGTAAGAAATTAAAGATGATAACAATTTTAATTCATGAAATTCTTTATTTAGGATAAAGGTGAAATTGAACCACTTCGCATTCCATTATTAATTATTGGATCAAAATATGATCTATTTCAAGTAATTTAAATAAAATTGAATTTTTTTGCCAAATAACATTCGTAACTATAGGATATCACTTATACTCAGAATTTGTTCGAATGTACAACTCATGAGGGAGTATTATCAATAGTTCTCCAGTCTTCTTGTTTCGAATCATAGGCGTTTTATTTGATTACTATCCTATAAGCAGAGAATCTTCGAGAAGCTGAATGATCTAAGTTCAAATTGAAATTTTGTGTCTATAGAGATGCCTTATAGAATATATCTGTAGACAGTTGATAGTGCTCTCTCGTCAATGAGTTACATGGAAAACTAAAACAAAATGTATTAAAGTATAGAAAAAATCAACTTTTTCATAATCTAAAAAAAAAAACTTATATTCATAATTATTTTTTTTCATGAGGAATATAAAATAATATTTAGAAAATAAATAAGCGATACATATAAGTTCGATATCAGTTTACATAATTTACTGTCCGTTGATTATTTAGACGAAAAGAAAGCAGTGAACGAGTAGGAAGAGTGGAGTGTCTTTCCTATATCTTATCGCAAATTCTTCTTTGCTCATTTCACTTTGTCCAAGTAATCAACAGAACGTAAACCTTCAGATAAGAAAACGGCTAATTGAAATATAGATGCTACTTTTATTATACTCGTTTTACTGAATTTTTGACATCAGGCAAGTTATCGACTAAAAAGTCAAATGATGCAAGATTAATTTGACAAAACACAATTTCATCGTGAAGATCCAAAACTTTTTATATATCATAAGTCAGTACTTTTCAAGTCAAACTTGCGTTATACAATTGATTATTAAATATTTTGTATAAAGTCCTCCATATCGACAAATTATTGATGCTCGATACTTGTGAATGTTTTTTGTCTTTAGTAATAATTTATTCTTTTTATTGTTGCAATAGACTTTAGAACCTGATGCAAAAAAATCTGTTATTAAAACACTTCGTTTTCTTAGTTATTATCATGGTGCGACATTAATGGTATTGTTTTTTTTTATTGGAGTATTATATATATTTTTTGTTAAAATAATTGATTTTTCTAGTCTTACAGTGAAAAACAAGAAAGTGTACATTTAAGAGGAATACTCAATCATTTCTTATTTGACACTACATTATCAAAGTAAAAACAAAAAATTAAAGCAAAATAAATATATCTATTTTGTTTATTTATTAGTAAACAACCACAAATTGATTATCAAAAACCATTATATGTTAAATCAGGTAGTGAAACACCTGAACAAATTGGTCCACCACCTATTCCTGAATATGAACTTGGTGATATACGAGAAAAGTACTAGCGAAATTTATTTATTTTTCTAACAAGAGAATCTTGCGAACTGATACATGCCGTTTGAGTTCATCATGGGACTACAAGGAAGCCTTAAGGCCCCCCCCCCTCAAAAATCGATCTCAGCCTAGGTACGTTCAAATGAGCTGAAATTTGGAGCATATGTTGGGGCTGATGTGGGGAGGCTGTGGTAAAATTTTCAGCTCGATACCACAACGTTTGACTGAGATATTCACCAAATAAGGGTCAAAAATAGGTCATTTTGGGACAAGGATTTCTCAGTCCGGAGCCGTCCAACATATTTAAATTTTTTTTTGTTAGAAAGAGCATGTTAGGATGCAGAGCACCACAGAGTCCTTTTTTTAAGATTCTTAGTTTTTTAGCGGAGAAAGGAGATCACAAGTCCAATGACTCAAAAAACACGCCAAAAATGGATGTTCAGTCACATAAGTGTCTGTATATATAATAAAAAACAAAGCTTAATTAAAAAAAGGACTCTGTGGTGACCTGCATCTCGATACGCTCTTTCAAACAAAAAAAAAATTTAAATATATTGTCCGAGCCGGGACTGAGAATTCCTTGTCCCAAAATCAAAAAATCATAAATCGAGAAAAAACGAAAAACATTTTTTGAACCTAAATTTTTCAAGATTTTTGTACTTTTACGCGGTTTTTTGGCATATTTGAAGAGAGTAATCATCAACTGTCATATATCTTTGTAAAGACGGGCTATCTTCCCATGCGGCTATCTCAATTTTGAAGAATTTGACGAAAATTGACTTTTTTTGAGGGGGGGGGGCCTTAATAACACTAGCAAAAATCTAAAAGGGTTCATTCTCATAGATTTTCTGAGCCAAGTTATAATCGTTTTATTGAATTTTGGAGTCAGGTTTAGTTATTTCCTGGAAAACCAACTGATGGAATTTTGATCTAAATCAAATGATCTTTAGAGTATTTCTTTGCCGAGATATTGAATTTTCAAGTAAGCTCGATTTCTGTAACGAACAACTATTTTTTTTTAGAATTCAAAATCTTCACAATTAGATAGAATAAACTTTTTCAATCAAGCGCAACGAAATGAATGAATTGTTCATTGAGTAAAATCAGAGAATTTACAGAATATGAAGAAAAAAGGAAAATCGAGAATGATCTTATTCATTGTTTGAAAGATGTAGATGAATAACAAGTCCTTAACTTAATGGTGAAAAGAAGACGAGCTAATATATTGACAAAAGATAAAATTGAAGAAGAAGAGAAAGAAAAGAGACTATCAAATAGCTGTATATGTATAATGATTCAGAAATAATTCTCACTTGTTCATTATGTAAGATTCACCGCAAAGGAATATTCTTTTCAGCTGAAATTTTCAGGATATTTGATTATAAATTTAACCAATGAGTATGAAATAGGATAATAAAACAACGATTAAATCTCTTTTCTTAACTTTTCAGCGTTTGATGTGCATTTATTGTTCTTAAAAATTTCTAACAATAGAGTTCAACACCTTGTCCACGTAAGGCACATATCTCTGATAGGAACGACTCCTTTTGACATTTTCTAGTCTTTTCAAAGCCTCCTTAGGAATCGAATATAAGCTCAAATTGTCGGTATCAATTCGGCTGGCTTCCTTGTAAGACTTAATTGAATTCGATTTTGTCTATTTTAGTTCACCAATAGCTCTTTGGAGAGCTGCATATTGTAAACGATTTCCACAGGAAGTAAATAAATATTTGTAATTTTTATCTGATACTATTTGTTTTTCCCCGTAAGGTTGAAAAACGTGATCCAACAACAATACAAGATTATGGTCGTGATGCTCAATATGCTGATGCATCAATTGATGCTATGAGAGAACAAAAAATGGCTGTAAGTGAATGATATTCGTTTTTGTTTTTAATTCAAAATAAAACGATAATTTATTTTATCTTTAGGAATTGCAACGTTATCTAACAATGAAAAACCGTTCACATTCTTAATTAATTTTTGTTTTTTGTTTTTGTAAAATACCTTAAAAAATGAAAATAAAGAATGTCTTTTGTTTTTCTGTTCGTATTTAACTATTATTTGTTTGAAATGTACGCATAAAGTTTAGTAATTTATTGGTTTCTTCTAATGTAATACCATTATATAGACTTATACGAATACCACCAACAGCACGATGACCTTTTAATTCAATCATATCTGATTGAACTGCTTCTTTAAGAAATAATGTTTCAAGTTTTTCATTTGGTGTGCCATTAGTAACAATACGTAATGGAATATTAGTACGACTACGATCTTTTTTATTAATAAAACTAACATAAAAACCATTGGATTGCTCAAGTGCATCGTAAACAGCTGATGATTTTTTATTTGATAGGTCATTCATAGCTTTTAAACCACCTTGTCGTTTAATCCAATCGAACATTTTATTCGTAATATAAATTCTAAATAGATAAATTAATTATTTAGCAAAAAAAAAGAAACGAACACAAGAAAAGAAATATTTAATTTCTTACGAAAATGTCGGTGGTGTATTATACATTGATCCATTATCAATATGTATTTTATAATCTAAAATAATTGGTATTGATTTATTGACATTTTTTTCAACTAAATCTTTTCGTAGAATAACAAGAGTAAGACCACTTATACCAAAGTTTTTCTGAGCACTAGCAAAGATAACAGCATACTGAAAACAAAGAAATAATATGTTATTAAATATTATTAAGATGGTTTTTATCTTACTTTCGTAACATCAAAAGGTCGTGTTAGAAAATTAGATGACATATCACAAACAATTGGAACATCTTTTGGTACAATAGCTGGAATATCATCTAATTCAATACCATGAATTGTTTCATTAGCACAATAATAAAAATAAGAAGGATCTTTTGTTAATTTCCATGTATTTTCATCTGGTACATCTATGTGATAAAATTACAATGATCTCATCATAAAAGATTTATTTATTTTTCTTATCTTTACCTTGATATTTGCTTCTTTTAGGTACAACCCAATTGACTTTACCGAATTTTTCAGCTTCGTTCGCTGCTTTTTCTGACCAATAACCTGTAACAAGATAATCAGCTGTTTGCGATGGTTTTAAATTGAGAAAATGTAATGGTATAGCACTGAATTGAGCTGTAGCACCACCTTGTAAAAAAAGAACTGCATAAGAATCCGGTATTGATCTGAAGAAGAAAAAAAATACTTTCAATAATATAAAAATATCGATTAATTTGAATAATTATTTTACAAAATATCACGAATATCTCGTTCAGCATCTTCAATAACTTTCGCAAAAGTTGTTGATCGATGACTAAGTTCTAAATAAAATTTCAATAAAATATTATTTAGATAAAAAGAAAAAATTTATATTTCATATACCCATAACATTAGCTCCAGATCCATTAAAATCTAAAAATTCGGCTTGAACACTTTCTAATACCTTGAAAATTAAAATTATATTTAGAAACAAAAGAAAAACAATTGAAAATTATCATTCTACTTCAAGTGGTAGTTGAGCTGGTCCTGCTCCAAAATTAAGCTTACGCTTAACTTGCCCATTTGTATTACCGTTGCTACTCGTCATTGGTCTATAGAATCAACTGTAATAATAAAACGTGTGTTATTCTTTCGATGATTGTTCTTCTTTTTTTTTTTTTTTTTGTTCAAGGTTAAGTATCATAGTAAACACGCATTCACTGCGTGTTGTCGTTTTCTTTATCTAACCTCGACTATAGTGACTACATGCATTATTTGCAGTTTCTATCACGTTCTAACGAAACAACTATAAAAATAAATAGAATTTTATTATCTTGGTTTTCGTTTTTTTGCGGTGCATTTCATAAATGTACCAGCTGTGAATACTCAAATGACATTTCGTTTTCATATAAAGTGAAATATAAGTGTGTATGACAATAGACCTGAATATTAAAAAGATAAGATCAAAGTTTTTTTTTGTCTTTAAATCATTTTAGAGTGAAATAATAAAATGATAAGATACGAATACTATGTAAAAGAGCTGCTATTTTTGATATTTGCAAAAATCGAAATATTTGTTTCCTATTTTGGATATATAAAATATTGATGATAAAGTTTTTAATTCAGTTAAAACTACTTTTCTTAACGTACAGTAAAAAATTTTAAATATCTTTTGAGCGATGAAATTTTTTTTTCTATCTTAACAAATAATAGTTGAAGGTAAAGTTCGATGCTTAAATTCAGAACAAAAAAAACGAGGTAATGATTTATGGTGCGCTTGGTTCACTTAAAACCCTCTTGAAAATATTCTTAGACGAAAAAAAAAATGGTTAAGCTTTTATATTCTTTCTGATCAGAAATTCTGTATGTATCGTTGCACAAGTGATAAAATCATTAAAAGAACTAAAAAAACTTGTTTGAACGGAACGGTTGACTCGATATTTCTTAATAATATTTTATTCCTTATTAGCCTCCTTAACAGTATTCTAATTAATATAGAAATTGTGGAAAAGCATCAGAAATTTATATTCTTTCCGAAGATGCTAATATTACAATTATCGGATTAGTCATAGCAGTAAACCGCGACCGCTTATAATGATCGGTAAACCACACATAGAAAAAGAAAAGTTTTGCATTCACTACAAATGATAATTTAGTTCAGCATATAAATTAAATTTGTGTTTATTCACACTAACGAAACGAACACAGAAAATAAAACGAAAATAGATGTCGCTAAAAACAAATATATTCTTAGAAATCATTATTCATCTACTTTTCGGATAATGTTTATGATAACAAAAAAAACTTAATAGTTAAGATGATATTTATTTTCAATGTATCTTGGATCATAGGCGGCGGAACCATTAGGCTTCGGGAGGCTCAAGCCTCCCCTAAATTTGAATAATGAAGGTTTGGGGAGGCTGAACTTATTCTATTTTTCGGAAAGAATGTTAGACGTTATGATAAAAGGATCGAATAAATAAGTTCTTTCAAAAACAAAAGATGGAGGGTCTGTGTCGTTTTCCAAAGCATCACGTAGTTGAACAAGATATTTTAGTAACTGAGAGTCGTACAAAAATCTTCACTATTAATAAGATGTTTTTACTAGAATAGCTTTTTTCGAGAAAGCTAAAGTTTGATGTACTGAAACTCAAATAAGCTTCTAATAAACCGGAGCTATTATCATATAANAATATCTTGAGAAAGGAACACTCTTTTTGGCTGAAACTTTCAGGGTATTTTAAGGACCATTGGGCCTATTTGTGAACAAAATTTTAAGTCGAAATTCCCTAATTTCATTTTTACAGTAAATACCTCGAGATGGATAGAAAATTCAGTAAAACGGTCATAACTCTTGATAGAAGAAGCAGGAATCCAAATCCTTTTAGGGTATTTACTATCTCAATATGCTCACTTAAATGACATATAAATGAATCAAAACGGGAAGTTCCCTCGTCAGCTTATTGCTCTGGAAGTACTACACGTTTACAGTATTTTTTAAATAAATACCGTGGTTCAGAAAAAATAATTTTTAGATATCGACTTGAAACTTTGCATAGAAATAATCATTTCAAATCAATTGGTTCACATGAGTGATATAAAAGATACGTTATTACTCTGTTTATATCGTAAGACAACAAGTCGGAATTCGAAAATTAATTTTTCTCTTATCACAACATTTATTTAAAAAATACCATAAAAGTACAGTATCTCCATAGCAATAAGTTAAGTATACGAACTTTTTTCAGGGTATTCATCGTTTATTTGAATCCTCAACATGTACATAGTCTCAATTCAAAAGCGATTGAATAGTTGGAAGGCTTTTCTTTGTGATAAAATTTCTAGATATCAATTTGTTTTATTTTTATTTTTTCTTCTTCTTTCATACCAAACTTAATTTAGATGAATTTGAACTTGAATCAATTGAATGATTTTGATCAATAGTTAATTTTGTATTATTTAATTGATTTTGATTACATTTCATATAAGATAAATATTTTTGTTTTCTATAACGACATATCATTATTAAAGTAATCGAACAAATAAATATAAGAATAAAAATCATCGAAAGAAATAATGTTATTAATAATATAAAACGTTGTATTTTTGATAATGAATTTATTTTATAAAATTTCTCATAAAATTGACTTGTATTTGTATTATTATTTCCAATAAATAAATCAATTTGTATAATAGATGAATATTGTATAAATTGTCCATTATCTTTTGCTTGTATATTTAATAAATAATATCCTATTTCAGGTGTTGAATTTAATATTAATTCACCATTATTTAATAAATTTAAAAAATTATAATTATCATTTATATAATAATTAACTAAACCATTTCCATTTGTTATATCATCTTGATCAATAGCTTCAAATTTAATAATTAATGTATTAATTTTAACAATATCTTTATTAATAAATAATTTTGTATAATTTTTAAATGGATTTTTCCATTGTGGTTTACAATCATTTATATCTAATATATTAATATAAACAGGTACAGATGTTTGAAAATAATTATCTGAAACTGTAACAATAAAAAAATATTTATCTTGTAATTCACGATCAATTGAATTTTGTAAAAAAATTTCACCATATTGATTTATTCGAAATTTATTTTCATTTTCAATATAATAAATTAAACTTGTATTTAAATCATAATCATATGCATGAATATAACCAAATGATTTCCATAATGAAAAATTTTCTTCAATCATAAATTCATATTTATCATATTCAAATATTGGTTTATTATCATTAAGATCTTTAATAAGAATTTCTATTGAAATTTTAGATGATAAACTTATTGGATAACCATGATCATAAACACGTATTTCAAATGTATAATTTGATCGTTTTTCACGATCAAATATATCTAAACAACGAAGTATACCTGTATTTGAATCAATTGAAAATGGTAAAAAATTTTCATTTGTTAATATTTCATATGTTAAACGACCATTTTCACCATTATCAGGATCAAATGTTTCAATTTTTGTTAAAATAATATTAGCTTGATTATTTTCATAGATTGATAAATGATAAGATGATTGTAAAAATTGTGGTTTATTATCATTTTCATCAAATATATTTATTGTTAAAATTTTATTTGTTTGTAATAATTTATTTAAATTAAAATCATTAACATAAAATTTTAAACGATATATTTGTTGATATTCAAAATCAAATGATTTTGTACAATTTAATAAATATGTTAAACTATTTATTTGATATAAATTAAATTCTTGATAATTTTTATTATTATAATTATCTAATATATCAAACCATAATGATATATTTCCATTATGAAAACTATCTTTATCAGTTATAAAAATTTTAACAAAAAATTTATCAATAGAATAATTTTCAGATATTTCAATAATATCATTTGATGAATTGGAATTTATTTCAGGTAAAAATTGAAAATTTATTATTGGATAACAATCATTTTCATCTAAGATTGTTATATTAATAAGTGTTTGTGATGAACGAATTTCTTTTCCAGAATCATATGCTTCAATATAAAATATATATGATATACGTTGTTCATAATCAAATAATGAACGAAGATTAATAACACCTGTTTCATTATCAATACAAAATATATTATTATATTGTTTTGATGCATCAGTAAAATCATATGTTATTCGACCATTTAAACCTATATCACCATCATAAGCATAAACTTGAAGTATTGTTGTATTTATTGCAGTATTTTCAGATAATGAAATTGAATAAATATCTTTTTCAAAACTAAACAAAAAAGAAATGCATAGTAGCGAATGTCAACATAATTGAGTTCTGTCCATTGAAAGAGTTTAACTAGTACGACTTTGATGAGTAGGCTCCTCTTAGTTATACCAAAAGCATGAAGTCTCAGAAGACTAGTATTCTGTATGTTAGGAAAGAAAAAACTAAGCATGAGTTTTGAAAAATAGTTTCATTGTTGAAAAATAGATTTTTTCGATTTGATTGTGAAATGCCATCAATATGAATTTATATTCAGAAGTTTTGATTATCAGAACTTTTTTTCCCCAATAAAACGAAAATGATATTAAGAATCCGCAGAAGATTCTGCATCTAATAACATACCCAGTACTTACAACTCATTTTCGTCTAATATCGACCTTAGACGAACTATACAGGTCAGTTTATTAGGAAATAAGAGCGAAGGAGTGTAAGAACCGAATATTCACGAAAACTTGTTATTCTATTCACTTCGTATCTTTCTACTAATTCTGTATATAAGAATCCTTGCTAATAGCATTTTATTATCAAATCGAAAAGAATCTATGTTCTCAATAATGAAAAAATATTTTTCTTTCCAATCGTATATGACTTGTATGATGAAAACAACAAGACAAATTTTCGAATAAATATCGAGATTTGATGCTTTTCATATAACTTTTTTTTTGTAAACTTAATTTTCGCACAATATTCAAATAATCAATATCTTACATAGGTGATTGATCATTAACATCATCAATAATAATTTTAATAAAAAGTTGTGTATGATGTCCATTTGTATCCGTAACATATAATGTACAATTATATGAATCAATTATTTCTCGATCAAGTGTTTCAACAAGTAGAAGAACTAAACGATTTGATAAATCATCATTAATTTCAAGAATAAATGGAAAATTTTCATCGAAATTTTTTAATTGATATTTTAATTGATTTTGATTATCTATATAATCATAATCATATGCTTGTTGTATAAAAAGTTTTGATTGATATGGTGGAGAATTTTCTAATATATGTAATTCAATTTCTGATGTTTTATATGGAAATATTGGTTGATGATCATTTATATCTTCAATTATAATTGGTATATGATAAAGTTTTTCATGATATAATTCAAAAATTTTTAATAAAAATTTACATTCAATATGTCGATGTATACAAATTAATTCACGATCAATATCAATAGCAATACGTAATTCACCTGTTGTAGAATTTAATGTAAAATATTGTTGAATTTCACGATAATTATTATTAACAAAACGATATGAATATCGTTGTTCTGTTGATGTATTAAGTTTTACTAATAAATGACCTATTGATGTATGTTCACGTATAATTATATTAGATAATTCAATAAGATCACAAAAAATAAATGTTAATGGAAAATATAAAATAATCAATAATAATTTATTAATCATTATTATATTAATTTCTTATTGATTATCTTAAAACGATAAGAAGAAAAAGAAAAATAGAATAAAAATAAATTCATTTTAATTACTTAGATATTTTCTTAGATAATCTACATTTTAATCAAGCATGTATATATGCTAGTCTAAGAACAGGTGCTAAATGAATTCTAATCTGACGGAAGCCTGACAGATCCATCGATCATGATATTTTTTTTAAAAGAGTGAAGAAGCATATCTAATTCAATGAATACATGCTCGACTTGGATCGGTCACTTTGAATCTTTACATATATGAAGTAGTCAGAAACATAAACAGACACACATTACTCTCTTCTTTTTTTTTTTTTCTTAAGAGTAAGTTTTGAACATTACTCATAATTGTATACAATACTCGAAATTCATTCATGCACACAGGCGACGATTAATACACGCACACACACTTGATTCACTTAATGTATACTACTCTTACTCAAATTCCTACATAAAGGAAAACGACACATGATTATGTACATCTTTTTTTTCTTCTTCTCTTTTTAACCTTGCAATAATGACATTGTTTGACAAGTGGAAATGACGAGTAAAGATAGAGAAGATCATCTATAATAATGAAAAGAAGCACAGAATGATGATTAGACACATATATGCAAATGAAGAGTTTTTTTTTCTTCCTATACATGTGTAGGTGCAAAGTAATCATCAATATAAATCATCAAATGAGCCAAAATTATAATACGTACATGTTGTTTGAGATCAGACGCGCATTTACAAATTATAACTAATGTATGACAAATCTGATAAAGAATAAGAAGAAGAAAAAAAAAAAGTCAAATGCATTTACCTGCAGCATCATTATTTTTTTCCATTTGAACGAATTTCATCTTCAAAAACAGTAAACTTATTCATGACTATTCACTCGTTTGTTCTCTTGTTTCTTTCCTTTTTTCTTTCTTCTTTTCTCTTCAAAATAATCATGATTCTCTCTCTCTGTCTCTCTCTGTTTCTCTCTCATATCTACATATTCAATCGCTTGTTACTGTTCAATGAAAATAATCAATTAGAGAGTACGTTACACAAAACGAAAATCAACTAGTAACTTTCAAAAAAAAAAAAAAACAGTTAATTCTACAGAAAAAAAAATAAAAGAAATCTAATATTGATTAGAGGATACCACTTGAAAATTTAGGCATATAGAAGTTATGCGATGAAGACGGTCTTTTTGATCATTGACATCGTACTCATCGACTCAAGTTTGTCAATGTATATGGCTTCAATCAACCTTCACATATATGAATACTTATAGTCGGTCTCTATTCAATATTTGTTCACTAGCACAAGACATTATCTTCTAAATATGTGTCCGTTGAACTCATGCACGCATTATAACAGAAAAAAAGAAGTAGACAGACATATATATCATGTAATATTCATTCAGGCACGCACCTGAGTTTTTCTTTGGGTAATCGAGTTAGAAATAGCGTAATCTCTTTGAAACATTACTGTATTAGTTTACCGTCAATATATTGCTCAACACATGGCACCATTGAATAGGACCGTGACTTTTCCCATGGCAAATTTGTAAGTTCATATACATGTATATATATATATATGACGCAATTCTAAATGCATATATACGGCTGCTGCATCCGTCAAGAGGCAATAAACGTTCTCTTGTATTCATCATTGTTCAATATTCAAATAACAAAGAAAAGAATTAACTATTTTTTTTCTTCAACAACATCTGTGACAATATATTTTTCTTCTTAAGAAGAAAAAGAATGTTATCAATTCGAAAGTACCCAAAAAACAAACTCTTCAACTGAATACCTTGATAATAACTGAAGAATAGAAGAAAAAAAAGTTAAGACGATATAATTTCAAATAAGAGTCTTTTAATTATCAAGTAATTCATTTTTATTAACATGCTAAAGAGAATATATTTGTATAAATAACAAACTATTGAGATATATGTTATCATTAATTAAAGAGAAACTAGTCTATTCAAGTACTCATATATATTAAGTAAGTCCAAGTATCAAAAAAAAGAAAAAACCTTGACTTAAACAATGATAGTTGCACTTCCGAAGAATCTAATAAAAAAAAGAAAAGATATTTATGCTATTACTTAACAATAACGAAGAATCTCTAATTACACATATATGACACAATGACAGCATCCGCTTTTCATAAGAAATATGCATAAAATTAGTGAGTATGACTCTTCAAAAAAAAAAAAAAAGAAAAGAATAACCAAGTAATCTTTGACATCATCTGTAAATGGATATGTTGACATTTAAATTAAACTGTAACCGACTTCTTTCTTTTTTTTTTTGTCAAGATAAATCGAGATTTATAAATAACAGACGAGAATAATTTATCAAATATAAAACGATAATCTGTTTTTGTTTGTCTATACATTACCATCCGGTATTGAAAGGAAATGAAATTGAGTATGATGTTCTTTTATTTTATTTTTTTTTCTACTCAAATATTCCTGCTACTGTCAATCATGCATATGCATATGTATACATATACATCTACATTGAATAGTGTACTCGTTGTTTTTTCTTCGTTCTAATGCTTTTAAATAAATATATATATATACATATAAGCGATTGAACTGACCTTGAAATAACATCACTTCTATGTTATTTCTCTTAATCATACTGGGTCAATCAATACGGTTATTGAATTGATCAGTTTATAAATGAGATATCTAACCTGTAAGGTACATATTCGATATACATGTCTGATAAAAATGTCATAGTCAGATACTAAACACTAATAGAAGAAAAACAAAACAAAAAAAAGACATGTTTTTTTCCAATCTATCATCGAATATCTTGTTTCGTCTAGTCGAACATTAATGGATGATGTACAAGTGGAATAACATAACGAATGACAATTAGTAACTGATCGATCGACTGACCATTTGTATGTCCGTCAATGATCGATCTATCATCGACTAGATTTTAATATGTTTTTAGTTTTATTTATTATTTCTTTGAGAACTAACTACAGAAGGTATGTGTCGTTCTCAGTTAACATTATCGTTAATATGACATATGAAAAAAAAAAAGAGATCAAGAATAATTATGAGTTGTGTTCATTGTGTAACTACATTTTTACCATTATTCATTGGGATTTTTTTTTGCAACAATTTTCATATTAGGGAAGAAGAGAAGGGCAATCATACACACATATACATACTATAAAAGAGTATATTTTTCTACATTATCAAAGTGTAAAAAGCATAAGCATATTTTCTCGTGTATGTTTGAATTAGTTGTTATATCATCTAATTGATCTTTCACATCTCAAGAGACATTCTCTTGTTTACGTCTAATTGTTTTTTTAACAATATTATGTTTACTTTGTGATACTTAAGAAGGTTGTTTTTTATTGTATAAACATAATAAAACAAAAAAACGAAGGTAAAGATAAAAAAATATTATCTCCTTTTGTTGTTTGTTCATTATTGAATCGTTCCGGTAATCTAAACTTTCTTATTTTTTTTTTTTGCTTTTTGGTAGATTTACTTTTTTTTGATTGTTCTTTATATAACAAATATATACCCATATTTATGTATAAAGGTTAAAGATTACGAAATCGATTTGTGTTTTATGTATGAACATATGATAAAGTTCGAACATCTTTCTACCTACTTGTAAATTGTCCTTGAATGTTCATCAGTGTATTCTGTAAAGTTTGCTTATAACATAGTAATGTCTTTCTATCATCTTGAGACAAATAAGCATCCTCTTCGGGTTTATATTAAATTCGACTCGTCTCCGTGATGATATTTTTCATCTTGGCTTTTTGAAAAATCACTTTACTCATTCTATATGCCCTGTGGTCTTTTTGTCTTTTCGTCTAATCATCTAAGTAGTCATATTCATCTCATGTTAGTCACTTGTCTTATTCTTTTTCTTTTTTTATTAAATCGAATGATTGATTGACTCAACAATATTAAATTCTGAAAAAAAATGTCTATATGAACATGTGTCTTAATTCATTTCCGAATATATATATGTAATCAGCCCAAGGCTAATAAATATATTTGTCTAAATATGATGCAATTTGTACATCAAGGTGAATAAGCATTTATTTAGAACGATGTAATGATTATTTCCGATATTTATTTTTAATTTTGTATATTGTTTGAACTTGTTGATGAAGTTACTTTTAGAAAAAGAAAAATTATAGACAGATAAAAAATATAGAAATAAAATTAGGCTAATGCCGATCGGAGATATTGTTGTAACAAATGATTTATTTGGATGTAAAATAGTTCTTGTTGTCATACTACACACAAATATAAGAAAAGAAAAAGGCAATTTATTGTTCCTCATCAGCAGCACCTTCAAGTTTTGAACCATCATCAGCTGTTGCCTAAATAGAATAAATAAATGTAGGAAAAGAAAAGATCTCTTCTAAAAATTTCATATACTTCTCGATTTTCTTCAGCACGACGTTTTTGTTCTTCTTGTGCATCATGTTTTTCATCTTCATTAAATTGATCTTTATCCAATCTGTTATAATAAATCAATTTGAATAAAAAGTAAAATTGATAAAGAATAAAAGACTCTACCGTTCAAGTTTATCAAGAGCAACTAATACTTCCATTCGATATGAATCAGTTTCAGATAAAGGTGTTTCTATTAAATAAAATATTTATTAAAATAAATATCTTTTTGTTTTATTCAATAGTTTTACCTAACAAAACAAGCGCTCTTAACATTGGTAATACAGCCATTTTTTTAAGTTCTTCTGGATCAGTAATATTGTTCGCACTAAAATTTTTTATATGTATATCAAAGAAATAAATCTATTCATTAGTTTCTATACCGTAAATTGATATATTGCAATTGTTTCATATTTTCACTAAAACCATCTAATAAATCAAGTTTATTATCACGTAAATGAAGTGTTGTTAAACGACTTAATTCTTGTAAATCTTCAAGTTGTGTTATATTATTAGCTGCCTAAAAAGAAAACAAATTAATTTAT